TTGAAATGTTCCAACATCTGAATCATAGCAGTGCCAGAAAGAGAAGAGGAAGAGCAAGAAATTGAAAACTTATTTGAAAACATAATGAAGGAGAACTTCCCCAATCTGGCAAAGGAAATAGACTTCCAGGAAGTCCAGGAAGCTCAGAGAGTCCAAAAGAAGTTGGACCCAAGGAGGAATACACCAAGGCACATCATAATTACATTACCCAAGATTAAAATGAAGGAGAAAAAAAAAAAGCCCTGGCTGGTGTAGCTCAGTGGACTGAGTGCAGGCCTGTGAAGCAAAGGATCATGGTTCGATTCCCAGTCAGGGCACATGCCTGGTTTGCAGGCCAGTTCCCAGTGGGGGACACATGAGAGGCAACCATACATTGATATTTTTCTCCCTCTCTCCTTCCCTTCCCCTCTCTCTTAAAATAAATAAATAAAATATTTTAAAAAATAAAATAAATAAAATGAAGGAGAGAATCTTAAAGCAGAGACAGAAAAGGACACAGTTATCTACAAAAGAGTGCCCATAAGACTATCAGCTGATTTGTCAAAAGAAACCTTATAAACAAGAAGGACCTGGAAAGAAAGATTCCAAGTCATGAAAGGCAAGAACCTACATCCAAAATTACTCTATCCAGAAAATCTTTAATTTAGAATAGAGGGGCAGATAAAGTGCTCCCCAGAGGTCAAGTTAAAGTAGTTCATCATCACCAAGCCCTTATTATATGAAATGTTAAAGGGATTTATCTTATAAAAAAAGAAGATACAAATATGAGCAGTAAAATGACAGCAAACTCACAATTATTCACAATCACACCTAAAACAAAAACAAACTAAGCAAACAACTAGAACAGGAACAGAACCACAGAAATGGAGATCACATGGAGGGTTAGCAACAGGAGAGTGGGAGGGGAGAGAAGGGAGAAGGTACAGAGAATAAGTAGCATAGATGGTAGTTAGAAAATACACAGGGGGAGGGTAAGAATCATAAGGGAAACGTAGAAGCCAAAGAACTTATAAGTATGACACATGGACATGAACTAAAGGGGGAAAAGGGGGTGTGCAGGGTGGAGGGGAGTGAAGAGGGGAAAATGGGACAGCTGTAATAGCATAATCAATAAAATATATTTTTTAAAAATAAAGGAGTTCATCATCACCAAGCTCTTATTATATGAAATGTTAAAGGGACTTATCTAAGAAAAAGAACATCAAAACTATGAATAGTGAAATGACAACAAACTCACAACTATCAACAACTGAACCTAAAACAAAAACAAAAACAAACTGAGCAAACAACTAGAACAGGAACAGAACCACAGAAATGGAGATCACATAGAGGGTTATCAACAGGGAAGTGGAAAGGGGGAGAGGGGGAGATGATACAGGGAATAAGAAGCATTATTTGTAGGTACAAAATAGACAGGGGGAGGTTAAAAATAGTATAGGAATTGGAGAAGCCAAAGAACTTATATTCATGAATCATAAACATGAACTAAGGGGGAGGAATGATGATGTAAAGGCAGGGTGCAGGGTGGAGGAAAATAAAAGGGAGGTAAAAAAACGGAACAACTATAATAGCATAATCAATAAAAGATATTTTAAAAATAAAATTAAAATGAAAAAAGAAATATAGAAACATTGGTAAAGTATAAATGATTTGTTGTTAATTATATAATTGTACATCTAGAAAAACAAGAAATTATAATAAATTCTGGAATAAATAAACAAGACGACATGTTCTGTTTTGTTTTTGTCTACACTAGCAATAACCATCTAGAACAAGAATGAAGAAAATATTGCATTTAGAATAATAAAGAAATGATGGATAAGAAAACAAGGCCCTTACATAAGCTGGCTACAAGAAACACATTTCAGGTCAAAAGACACACACAGAATGAAAATAAAGAGATGGAAAAGATACTTCATGCAAATGGAAACGAAAAAAAGGTAAGGTAGCAGTACTTACATTAGACAAAATAGGCCATGGAGGTGTCTGCCTATGCCCACTGACTATTGACCCTCCCCATGACCACTGCCTGAGGTGCCATTTCTTCACCTCTCCTGTCAATATTTGCCCCTTGCTGCTCCCAGAACTTTCAGGGTGTCCTCTGCCACTCTAGGCTTCTGACTGTCACTTCACTTCTTAGGCCTCCTTTGGGTTCCAGTCTTCCAGAGGGTCCCACAGAAGAGTTGCTTGGAAGCTTGTTGCTTTGCATGCATTTTCTCAGTCATGAAGATGAAATTGCCTGTTATCATGATCTGAACTATGACTCAGAGCACCTACTGTCACTGAGTGGGAGAAAAATGCAAGTGAGGTAGATGCATTCTGATGGAAGTTAGGCAGGCATGGGTGCCCTGAGAGGGCGGACCCAGATCAGAAAGCAGGGTGACAAGTCTGGGAAGAGATCTGGGTGCAAAAAGAGAGGCATGAACAGGAAAGACCCTGAAGACCTTCTCCAGTTTTGGAATTTGAGGTGAGCCTCGGACCAAAAAGTAAGACAAGTAGAAATGGGCTTCCTGCACAGGCCACAACAAAACTCCAGTAACCTTACAAATATCTTTGGTACAAGGACTCTTGGTTATTCACCCTCCCCACCCTGAATCATTGCTTTTTACTTTAGGCCTGTTGCCAACTTGGGTTCAAGGTCCCCAAACTGATGACTAAAGACATTGGTTTTGAGATAAGAAGATAAGGGAGGAGCAGAGGGGGAAGACAAGTGAGTCATGATTAACAGCAGGGGAAGAGCAGTGATCCTGAGGACAGAACTAGAGGACTAAATAGAGCCTTGGTAGCCTCTGAGACTATCCTCAGGGCAGAGTCCAGAAGATTGAGAGGGACATCTATAATTTTATTTGCTTCCAGAGTTGGTGATTCAGCCCAGCTAATCTTTGGTATAATATTAACTACCACTTCAGCAGTGTAGGATGCTAGGGACAGAAAGAACAAGGTACAGATAAAACAGGTATGAGTTCTAGTTACATATTTGGCTCTATAGAAACTTATATATCATTTATTCCTTAGGACATTAATCCTCATCACACCCCTAAGAACTAAGTACTATTATTACCCCATTTCACAGGTGAGGAAACTGTGAGCTAACAGAAGTAAAGTCACGGGCCTAGTACCATGCAGGCAGTGGGTGATGGAGCTGGGATTGAAACCCTGGCAGTCTAGCTTCTTGGCTCATTGGTGAGGGCAGGGCTGCTTGATCCAGACAGCTGTCTTCAGGTACACCTCTCCCAGTTCTCCACAGTGCCCTATGCCTCCAACATGACCCCATCAAGCTGACCTGCTTACCCTTCCAGATGGCTAATATTGTATTATGCAGGGGGTGGAAGGGCCTTAATTAAGGGGCCATTTCTCCAGTCCTCTGATCTCTGGGAATAGCTTCATTGTCAGTCTTGGAATGGTGGGGGGCAAGGGGTAGAGTAAAGGTAGTAGGAGAGTCAGCAGGCCCAGAACCACACAGGGTTCTCACAGTCCTTGTCCCTAGTCTATCCTCTGAGGCTTATGGTTCTGCCCTCAGGTTTTATTTGTGAAGGTGGAGTTCACTGAATCTTCTTATTCATTTAAACTCTCCTCCTTCGGGAAGTCTCAGGAAGGCCCCCTTTCCTTCTTTGAAATGGTCTGTTATATTGTATTTGAATGGATTCTTTTAAAGCTGCCTTAAACTTGTTGTGCATGTAAGCAGAGTACAAATATATGAAAAATAAAATAAAAGGGAATGAGTGGCTTGCCTCTGGGGCTTTCTAGGATAAGTGAGCACCTGTTCATTGGGTCTGTTTTTCTCTCAGAAGTATTCATTTCTGGCTGAGGGTTCTAGAAGACATTTATTGGGAGCTGATTTGGCACTGGTGCAGCAAATTGTCCTCTGATGCAGTAGCTGTGGAGACAAAGCTGGCTTCAGTGTCTTTTTTAATATGTTTTATTGGCTATGCCGTTACAGTTGTCCCATTTCCCCTCCCCCTTCATTCCCCTCCACCCTGCACACCCACTCCCTCCATTGTCCCCTTCAGTTCATGTCCATGTGTCACAAGTTCTTTAGATTCTATATTTCCCATACTATTCTTGTCCTCCCCCCTGTCTATGCTACTTAGTCTCTGTACCTTCAGTTTCATCATTTCCTTTGTAGGGAGTAATGCTGGTTAGGAGTGACTGCAGAGGAACCAAAGCCATGTTCTAGACGCTATGGCAAAAAAGCTATGTCCAGTTAACCAAATATGTCTTCTGTGAGGCCCAAAATTCCCCTCTCTGGGTCTTCTTTCCTCTTCAGTGGTATCCCTTGAACCCTTCGAATAGGCCTTTGGGTCTTGTTCCCTCTCAAGTGTGAATGGCACTAACAATCCCACAGGAAAGGCAATCTTCCCTTCTGCCAGTGGCTGGCAGCATTTTACAGAATGGGCTTTCCCGGAGGGACTCAACCCAGCTCAAGAAAGTAACTTCAGCTATAAACAACTTGCCTGAGGGGTGAAGTGGTGCTTCTCAGGCAGTATGAACAGAGTACAATGACTTCATCTGACACGGGCCGCCTCAGAGGAGGAGGAAGGATAAAGATCCATCCTGAAGCAAAAGTGGGACTGTAGCCAGAGCCTGGTGTTGGGAAACTAATGGGAAATAGCTTGCCGAAGGAAGGAGGATGGAATTCAGGAATGGGTGAGGCTGGTTACTCTACCTAAAGGGGGCTGGGAGAAGCACCTTGATTGAAACCAGTTGTTGCTCCTTTGTCTCAGATCTTTGGACTCTGCCCTGGGCAGGCTCACACCTTATTCCAGAAGACTGGGAGACAGCAGAAGCTTTTCTGCCCACCTTGACTTCTGGATCCCTGATAAACAACAGACCAGAGGGGGACTCTCCATCAACCAGCCAGGTACCTCCTCCATATTGCCAGCCCTTACCCCTGCCTGCTCCTCCCTGGGAAAGGCCTGGAGGAAGAGGCCAAGGAAGAAAGAGGCCTATACACTTTCTACCATCCCTCCATTGACCTAGCACCAACTTCTGGAGACTTCATGGCCTGGGATCCCTGGAGCCACTGGCACTGGCTTGTCTTCATCTGTGGTATGTGCATCTCAGTCTTTCCATTGCTTCCCATGTTGGGAGAACAAGTTCAATTGGAGAGCAGCTCCGGCCTCCACTTCTGGGCTCAGAAATCGTTGGAGTGAGAGCTGAGGCTCAGGTTGTCTCCTTTTCTCTTGACCCCCCTCTGTCTTGAGGAAAAATAACACCAGGGCCAGTCCTTGGGGCCCTCAAGACGCAGGTCCAGTCTGGTCTGACACCTTTTCATTCCCACCTGTTAATGAAAAAAAATGATTCTGGCACATGTTTTACAAAGTAAGGTAGATTTTATTCAAGACTATTGCAATAGGGACATTTAAATAGGAAAGGAAGATCAGACTCAACCCTGAATGCAGCAAAGATGGCCAATGAGCAGAGTAAAGGGTTAGTGGATGGGAAATTCCTAAAAGGAAACATCAGGTTATGGAGACTCTTACTAAAGTGGCTTAATAGGATTCTTGTGGAAGGCAGGCCAGGGTGATCAGATATCAAGGGTGGGAGTAAGGAATCTGAACAAGTATCAAGGGGTGATCAGATATTAATGGTGAGAGATTCTCTCTAAATTCACTTAGCAAGATTCTTGCTTAAGACTGGAAGATTCAAACCCAGCAAGGACAAGATTGCTGAGCCAAAGTCAAGGACTAATCAAAAAAAGGACTCAGAGGAGCCTAATTAAAGCTTGGTTTTTGTCACTCCTAAGGTGCCCCAGTTTTTTCTCTTTAGTCACAACTACTGGTAACTGCTCAGCTCAGCATCCTCGATATGCACTTCACTTCCAGCTTCAGGGAGGCCTTCTTTTCCTTTATTTTTCTGTCAGTAGAACTTTGCTCATTCATTCAGCACACAGTTTTGAGCACCTCTCCAATACCAGGCCCTGTGTCCAGGCCCTGTGTCAGGAACCACAGATGATTTGGCTGCAGAGCCTGACCTTGAGAGCCACAGCCTAAACCTCAGAGAACAGCTATCTTTGTGTTCACAGGACAAAGGTTGGCTCAATCTTGCTTCTTTTTTTTAAGTATTTTTTTAGATTTTTATTTATCTTTAGAGGGGAAGGGAAGGAGAGAGGAGGAGAAACATCAATGTATGGTTGCCTTTCATGCATCCCCTGCTGGGAACTGGCCTGCAGGGAACCGGCCTGCAACCCAGGCATGTGCCCTGACTGGGAATCGAACTGCGAGTTTTTGGTTTGCAGGCCCGAGCTCAATCCACTGAGCTACACTAGCCAGGCTCAATCTTGCTTCTTATATTGGCATCTTAATGCCACCATTTTGCCAGAGATCTGTTCTCACAAAAATGAGGGTTCGATTTCTTAAATCAATCGGATAGGTTTCATCTCCCCCTTCAGTTTATAAAGTAAGACAACCAAGCAAGACCATTCATGGTGTTAAACCCTAGTCACCCCCTTTCCATCTATACTTCAACCCACTCAGAAGGTAAAAGTACAGTGGGAGTGTCCATACTCAGGCCCCCATTACCCTCTGGGGAGACCCTCCTTAAAAGGTGGGATGATAGAGGGAAGAACTTTCAGAGACCACTGGACTTTTAGAGCCCAGAGCCTGTAGTACTTAGCTCAGTGCCTGGCATACAGTAGGCACTTAGGAAATGCTTGCTCAGTGAATACTGGGTGCACAGGCCAGGTTGGAAACTAAGTCTCCATGTGCTCTGTCCCTTCTGTGGCACTACCTTCCCATGGCCAGGGGTTTTTTTTTTTGTTGTTGTTTTGTATTCAGATGGCTTGGGTTCAAACCACTGATTTACTGTGGCAAAACTTGGGCAAGTTACTAAACTTATCTGGGCTTCAGCTTCCTCCTCCATAGAAAGTGGACAATAATACCCACCTCACAGAACTGTTAACAGGTATCAAACGAGATGCTATAGATAAATTGCTGACTTCAGTGTCTCTCTAGCACATAGTAGGAGTTCTTTAATGTTAGCCCACCTTTCCCTACCAGGTGGTGATTTGAGACTGAGATTGCTTGTCTTACATGCTTAAAACTAGCCTGGAATGATAGGCAGAGATTTGGATTATAAGAAATGGTACAAGTGGGCCTTGAATTTAAGTAAACCCAACGTATATGAAATTAGATTTATAGAAGGGTAAAATGAAGGTAGGGTGATTATTTAGTGAGATCCTCTGAAGCATTTCAAAGAAAATTTGATTGCAAAAATTTAATTTACACAGAACTTTTCCAGTTCAGTAGACCCTGAAGAGACTCAATTAGATTAGAAGGGAAAAATTTGATTTAATGAGCACTAAAACGCTTCCAAAAGTGGCAATCACTTGTCAATGAATCAGGTTTCTTTGACTGTGACCCAGAGTGCCAACCAATTCAGCCTGATTTCCTATAAAATGTGATTATTTTTATCCTAAAGGAGAGTTGGACCTCATCATGTGTTTCAAAGGATAAAGGGCCTGCAGGGAAGGAACTATCTGATCACCAAGTGACCCTGGATTTTTCTCCTGGTTTCTAGTTTGTGCCTGGGGCCATGCAAGGCAAGTGGACTCAAGAAGAGAAGGCATGAGAAACTGTTCAACCATCCCTCATGTGAGGCCCTGGCTCAGCCCACCCTGGCCCCTACCCTAGCCCTGCCCTACAGGTCCCATCATCTTCCCCTTCTACTATTGACTCAGTTGTTAGCCTCTCTTTCTCTACAAACCTATCTCCTGATTTTTGGAGTTTGGAGCCACTGTTTCTGATTAACATCATTCAGGAAGGGCCACACATTCTCAGGTGTCTGATATCTGCCCTAACCCCTCCTTCGCACCCATTCCCACAGCAAGTTATCTACTTCTGTCCTGGATTGGACTTGGACAACCCCATTAGAGGGAGGGAAGAGAGGAAATAAGGAGAGTAGGAGGCCCCTAGCTAACCTTTGGCTGAGTTTAGTCAGAGGCCAAGAGGAGGATGGGAGGAAAGAAAACAAGAATTCTAGAGGAACAGTGAAAAAGGAGACACAGATGTGAGGATGAAGGAAGACAGGTTAGAAGAGCCAATGGAAGGGCAAGAGAGGAAGACCTAAGGTGTGAAGACCTGGAGAAGGCCTAATAAATTGGAGCTGAAAAGTCCTCAGCTTCTTGGCTGGAGATTCTTTCCACAACCAAAATAGGGTGAAAGAGCTTCTCCAGGCAGGGGTAGGTGAAAAAATGAGAGCTAATGGGCTTGCCAGCATCCACTAAGCTTCAGGAGTACATCTGCTTGCATTGTTAAGTTTATGAGACCACTGGGGCAGGCAGGTGTGTGGGCCAGCCACATTACTTTTACATTAAAACAAACATGGTTATATTGTGGGATAGAGAGCAAAACAAAACAAAAAATAAATACCCACCATATTTTATTTTAGAGATAAAGCAGCCTTTTCAAAAATGTCTAGCTTAGAGGGAATCTTTCTGGACAATGTCCCAAAACCCTGAGGGTACTCATGCACCTTCCTGTGCCATCTGAGACCAGTGACTGGAAACTTGAAAAAGTCCCCAAGGTAGGGTTGTCAGATGAGATGCAAGATGCCAAATTACATCTGAATTTCAGATAATGTATATTTCATATAAGTATGCCCCAAATAGTGCATGGCACATACTTCTACTAAATCACTGTTCATTGTTTATCTGAAATTCAAATGTGACTGGGTAAGCATCCTGTATTTTTATTTAGTAAATTAGCAATGCTACCTCCAAGGTATGCAAAGAGACTTTCCCTTGCAACTCTCATCCATACCTCCATCCTAGACTCAGGTACCCTTACCGTCACAAAGGATCCCTCTCAAGCTCTTCAACGCTTCATCTACACTCAACTCATGCACATTAATCTAAATTAACCCACAGCATCAGCTGCTGCCCTATCCCTCTCCAGGCTGGTCCAGCCTCCTGACCCTACCAGCCTATAATCCCTGTCTAAGAAGAGGCTGGTGGCTCTTCTGGATGCTGGGGGCCCAGGTGTCATTTTCTCTAAACAATATGTGTCTATGTGTGTGTCTTGGTGTCTTTCTGTCCTGTGTCAGTACCTTCCAGTTACTGTGGTCAATACCACAGAGCGGCTCATAGCCCTTCGCCAGCAGATGTACACAAATAATCTATCTGCCTACATCATCCCGAACACGGATGCCCACATGGTAAGGAATGGCTCTACCCCCACCCTTCTCCTTTCTGCTACCCTGGCGGGGGGCCTATGAGAACAGGCCACAAATTGTTAAGACTCAGGAGATGAAGGAAGAGGAAGTATTTGACAGTCAAAGGGAAGGAAGTAGAGAGGTTGGACATGGGAGTTTAGGGCAGCTGAAAGAATGCAATCCATTACATAGGAGAGAAGACATTGCCAAATCTTGACCTCAAGCCATAAAACTATAAACAACTTCAGAATGGATTTTGATCACTTCCTAGATGGCAAATTCAGAATGAATACTTAGGGTACCCTCCCCTAGGAGGTTAGAATGTGAGCTGCAAATTGGACTGGAAAAATGCTAAGCTTCCTTCCTTTTCAGCTATTCACATAACCTAATGGATGGAGCATTGAAATTATCCACAACCCCAGACTGCATGAATCTGGGGTATAGGCTGGGGGAGGAGGAGCATGTAGGAAACAAGATGGACTGGAAAAGAATTGCTTTTCCCAAAGCAGCACCCCTGCCCACTCATCTCACTCTTTCCCACTATTGCTTCCCCCTCTACCTCACCCACCTTTCCAACACGAACCCAGTTGGAAGAGGAATTTTCAGTGTCAATAAGAGTACTTGAATTAATTTTCCCACTTGCTGGGAAAGACTAAGAACCTTGGGTAAGCGTCCAAACTTCTCTGAGCCTCAGTTTCCCCTTCTGCAAGATAGGAATAATGAAATCTATGCCTGAAGATTATGAGGATCAAAATACAATAATATGTAAAGCCCTCTGCAAACATTATTTTTATATAATCAGTGTTCAATGCTAGACTGGGTGGCATGGGGAGACAGCTTGAAGGAAGGACTGAGAAGAGCCAAAAACATGCTCCCAGACTGCACAGAATTTGCATTCTGGCCTTTGCAGAACTGTCAGTCCAGTGCTAGATATGGGTTTTAGATTCTGAGATATTCCTATTCAAAGGAAAAATCCTGAGAGCTGCACAAAGTTCCAGAGGGCTTCCTGGAAGAGCTGCCCAGCATGCCTGGGCTTGTAGGACTAGTTAAATCTGACCAGAAAGAACTGGGATGTGGTTTGAAGCTTTCCATATGGGGTCTGAGTTCATGAAAAAAGCTAATGATGGTGTTGTTGGTTTCCTAGAGCGAGTACATTGGTGAACATGACAAGCGGCTTACATGGATTACAGGCTTTACAGGGTCTTCAGGTAACAACCACTAACCCGCCCTCCTTGCTTCCGTTGGTTGACTCAGAGGTAGTCACAGATGCCCTGATGTGGCTAAACCTCAGCAGCTGGGACCCCAGGATGTAGTATTTAGTAAACCCTTGCTACTTTGCCTCCCCTCCACCACTAAAAAAAAGTGTCACCGGAGCAGGTGTCCCATCAGGTTCCCCAGAGTACACATCTCATAATTCACCAGCCACACTTCTGCATGAGGCAGATGGCCCTCCTTGGCTCCCCTCCCATGCTCACTGCCTCTGCCACAGCCAGGCCCAGCCTAGCACTCCCTGGGCTTCTTTTCTGGAACAGTTGCTATTCCTATATCTAGCCACTAGGAGCCCACTTATTTCCTTCACACAGTGTCTCACTTGGGGACAAAGTTTTGTTTTGCTGGTCCTTTTAGGGAAAAAAAAATCACCTCACATGGCCAAATGAGATATAACTATAGAAGCCTTACATAGAGTCCCAATTTCTGAAAGGGGCCTCCTATGTTGGCCCTGGCTCCTTGAATGAAAAGCAAGGTTCCTTTGCTGATCCTTAAACATTCATCCTCTGGGCTTCAAGCTGCCTTGCCTTGCCCATCATAAACCCTGCTTTTTGCCAAAGTTGCTGGATTTGGCTTCTCTCCCTATCCTCAACTACGCCCCTGGATTAGTGTCCCTCTAAGCCAATGAGTCTTGATATTGACTACGCCATCTTTCCTGAGAGCACTGACTTGCAGCATCAACTCTTTTGAACTCCCAAAAGCAGACCCCACCCACTTCTCCTTTTAGGAACCTTAATGGCTCCCTTAGGTGAGGCCCTCAACACAAAGCAGGCTTCCATCAAGGCTCTCCTTAAATCTCTTGCCTCATTTCCTTCCAATGGAGAAGAGAAACTCTTTCTAGAGGCCCCTGTGACATTCTCAGAACCAGCACTGTATTGAACATGCACTAAAATAACCACATCTCTCACTTTTACCCTCACCTCCAAGTTTATCTGTTATGCCCCAGGAACTGCAGTGGTAACTATGGGGAGAGCAGGTCTCTGGACTGACAGTCGCTACTGGATCCAGGCTGAGCAGGAGATGGACTGCAATTGGGAACTCCATAAGGAAGGTAAAATGGCCACATGAATTTGTCCCCCAAACCCTGGAACCCAGACTAAATTCAGGGATGTACAAGTGAGGGGATACATTCAAGGGTATGCTGGGCCCCTATGGGAAGTAAGGGAAATTCAAGGCAATCCCTAAACTTTGAGGCTGCTATCAAGAAAGATACACATAATGCAGCTGTCACAAGAAGAAATCTGACTGGAGGGACTAGTGCTGGCCCTGGAGGTGATCTCTGTTCCTTCCTATCTTTCTCTAAGTTGGTAGTTCCCCCATTGTCAGTTGGCTCCTCACTGAGATTCCTGCTGGAGGACGTGTGGGTTTCGATCCCCTCCTCTTCTCCATTGGTAAGTTCTTCCCCTAGTCCCTATATATGTGTTCACCAATGAGGGTGACTCAACTTCCCTGGGATGTAAAGAAACATACCTTGATAGAAGGAAGGGTAGGGTGACTCTAAAGGTAGAGTGTTCAAACTTGTGGTTGCAGAATATTTTGCAACAAAAACATATTCATGGGTTATGTAATAAAAATATATTTCAAAGAACGGTTATATATTTTTTAAGTCATGAGTACAGAGACTCAACCTAAAAGACTCAGAGAAGTATTAAGATCTAGCAGATAGCCCTGGCTGGTGTAGCTCAGTGGGTTGAGCGCGGGCCTGCAAACCAAAAGCTCGCAGTTTGATTCCCAGTCAGGGCACATTGCCTGGATTGCAGGCCAGTTCCCAGCAGGGATGCACTAGAGGCAATCATACATTGATATTTCTCTCCCTCTCTCCTTCCCTTCCCCTCTAAAGATAAATAAATAAAATCTTTTTAAAAAAGATCTACCAGATAAATAGGCTAGAACTCTGTGACCTAGAGTCAATCCTCTGTGACCTGGAACTCTACCAATTAGGACTCTGGAATTACTTGATAGACCCTCTCCTGGAATGCAGCTTGGAAGGGTCAAAGGAGTTGAGAAGGCTTCCAAATACAGAAACACAGCCCTCTCCCTCCAGAAATACAACTTTCTGAGCTTTGGGGATCCAGCTGACTGGCTAGCCTGACCCCAAGAATGGAGCCCTCATAAACATGCACTAAAGGATTCCAAGTTAAAAATGGCTTCTTTGACAATATTTGCAATGACATGGACATCAACATTCCTTTGGGCTGTGTCATTGAAGTTCAGCTAAAATGGATAGTATCTCTCTTCCTATGTGGCTCAGTTGGTTGGAGTGTTGTCCTGTACACCAAAAGGATGCAGGTTCGATTCTCAGCCTGGGTACATGTGGGAGGCAACTGATCAATCAATGTTTCTGTCACATCTCTCTCTCTCTCTCTTTCTCTCTCTCTCTCTCTCTCTCTCTCTCACACACACACACACACACACACACACACACACATTGATAAAAAAAACATTCTGGGGTGAGGATTTAAAACAAAAATTTTAAATAAAATGAATACTACCAAAAGAGGGCCCCACAGCCACTGACACTTAATGACTTTAGCCAATTGGCTGTAGACAGCACTGGGGTGGGCTCAGGGAAATTAGGCTTTGGAAATGGAAAGAGGAAGGTGAGAGTACATGACTGAGAGGGCCAGACTGCTTGCACAGGCTCTGGGCAGCTGAGGCTGCAGGAGCAGAACAGGAGACAGAGTAGAAAAGGACTAATTGTTCCTAAAAATTGTCATGATTTTTCCTGATGTGTAAGTGAGCATGAAACAAGTGACTTCTTCCTGTCTTTGCAGAAGCTTGGGAGAGTTATGACATGGCTCTCAAAGGCTCTGACAGAGAGCTGGTTCCCATCAAAACCAACCTTGTGGACCTGGTATGGGGGTCAGAGAGACCTCCAGTTCCAAGCCAGCCCATTTATTTCCTGCAGGAGACGTTCACAGGTAATTCCCCAAGCCAACTCTTATTGTTAACATGCAGCAACACGGGTCCCTGCTGCTTCTACTTTGGCTGAAAATTTTTTCCCTAAGAAGTATGAAAGCAATGGACCTCAAACCTTCATGTACATTCAAATTGCCTGGGATGCTTGTTTACAATGCAGATTTCTTGGCCTTTTCAAAAGTGAGTCTGAATCAAAAGTCCTCAGACCATATTTAGAAAGTGCTAGATAAAGAGTGTTAGTATTGAAGCTAGAGGGAGCAGGGATGGAGAAAACAAGAAAGTCAGAGAAAGATGAAAAATAACATACTCTTTTGAAGAGAGAAAAAACATGATGTGAGTTGCTTATCTGGTATTGAAGACCAGCTCATAATGAATCATTCAAACCTTGACTTCCAGCCTTCCTGTGATGAGGAATTTATATTTATGATTGCTGGGGTTGGGTAAGCAGGGGTGGACAAAGTGAGTAAATAATCTTGGGGTAAGTGTGTGGCACAGATTAAGGTTAGGGTTATGGCTGGACCACAAAGGAAAGTTAACTGACCCCAAAAGGTCTGGCATCAATAATCTTGACCCTGCTGACACCATGTAAATATGTCATAAAATAGCACTATGCTCTATGATTCTTGTAAGTAGTAACTAAAATCCTGACAGGACCAGGCTATTGACTCTGAATCAGTGCCTTGGCCACCACCATCTTCTACCTTCCTGGGAATGCTGAATGAGCCAATGGACTTGGATTCTTAGGAATATTGGTCAATTTGTGGAAATATTTGGGAAATCCCTTTCTACATGAAGGTCCATCTACATTTGTTGTTTGGAAAAGAGTCAAAAAGCAGGATGGAAATTTCAAAATAGCAGTCTGATGAAATAAGTTAAAATTGTGTCCAATTTTCTTTGTCCTCTCTGCTCTGATGTAAACTTGCAGAATCATTCTTTCTGCATCTTGACAGTTTTTAAAGAAACTTACTATCCAAGGCTATTCAATCAAAAATAAAATTTAATTCATTCAGATAAAGAGGGGCACAGTTATGCCGGGAAGGGGAGGAAGGAATAAAGAGAAAAACCTCCCAGGAACTGTGAGACAATTTGCATGAGGTTTTTTTTTTAATTTGCATGAGTTTTGTCACTTTCCACAAGTGAGGGGAAACTGAACCATCGTAGGCTGCTAGCCTTCAAGGAAGAGACTCAAAGTTCTTGAGTCTGTAAGGTTATAGAGATGAAAGATTGTTTCTACAGCAACTCATAGGTTTCGAAGGGTAGAAAAGGCAAAAACATGAAAAGTTAGTTACTCAAAGACACTTGTATGTATCAAACACTTTAAATTTACTTTCATTATTTGTCTCAAAAATGTCACATTCATCAACCTTGAAAACAATTCCTAGTGAAAGAATCCAGTCAGGCAAGGTCCCATATTTTATGGTTCCATTGGTATGAGATATCTAGCAGAGGCAAATTCATTGAGACAGAAAGCAGATCAGTGGTTTCTAGCTGCTGGGAGAAGGTGGGAATGGGGAGTGACTGCTTAAAGACTACAGGGTTTCCTTTGGGGATGATGAAAACATTCTGAAATTAGATAGTAGTAGTGATTGCACAATCTTATAAATGTTCTTAAAGCCACTGAATTGTGCACTTTAAAATAATTAAAAAGATACATTTTGTGGTATGTGTATTTTAACGCAGTAAAATAAAGTGAATCTTAAAAAGTATCATACCCAAAGCTTTGTTTCTTGTTGAATCATTTTACCTGTCTGCATAAAGTTTTTTAATGGCATTAAGTTATTTATGCTAATCTCTGAGCCCAACTAGGATATTATTATGAGTTTATGACCTTCTTCCAGTAAATTCCTAGCCCTGTGTAGAGGTAGACTCTTTAGACTCTCTCTTTACAGGAAACAAAAATAACAGATGAAAACTTAAGTCCTAGGATCAGGATACAAGTGTCCCAGAAAGGAAAGCTCTGTGACACTGAGTTTAAGGACAGGTTTGAAAAACTGACAATGTTAGCAAGATACTCCAATAAATGTACAGATTAAGAGTGTGATCCATGTACTCAAATGTATTGGATTCAAATCTCAGCTCCATCCCTTGCCAGCTATAAGGCCCTAGATATGTCACTTTGCCTCCCCTAAGACTCTGTAAAATGAGCCAAGTAAGAACTAAAACAAAGTATACAAAGTATTTAGCTCAGAACTATGGCTGATTAAACACTGGGGTTACTGCAGGAATGAGGCTTACACATGGCCCAGCCCTATTCCTTTGCCCCTGAAGTAGCACTGTTCTCTTGATCTCTGTTTTGCATGCATATTTTTTCAAATTTAAGAAAAACTTTTAAATTTTAATTGTTGTTTAAATACAGTTTTCTGCCTTTTACTCCCATCCCAGCCCACCAAAGACACTGTATGCATATTTATTGAACAGAAAGTTATACCAGTCTTACTGTACCCCAAGACATCATTCCATGTGTATTATAAGTATCAATTCAGTGTAAAGGGGGCATAAATGGTGATGGAAGGAGACTTGACTTTGGGTGGTGAACACACAATTCAATATACATATGATGAATTATAGAAGTGTATACTTGAAACTTATTTAATTTTATTAACCAATGTCATCTCAATAAATTAAATGAATTTTCTTAAAAATATGAATTAATTTGACCACCATAACCCTAATGATACTATCTTTATGATCCATTCTTATTTTACTCATGTACAAAATAAGATGCAGAGGTACTAATTTGCCCAAAAGCACCCAACCAGTAATGGCAGAACTAGGATTTGAACCCAGATAGTCTGGGTCTAGAGCCCATATCCCTAATCCCTAACAACTACACAAGTAGAAGTTTGTTTAAAAAAAGAGTGTTACTTCTTTTAAAGAAATGAAAAAGTATTGCTTTAAGAGAGCCCCCTCAAAGAGTGTCAAAGAGAAGGTATGTTATTCATGCTTTCTTTGGGCTCCTTTGCTTCTAGGGAGCACCTGGCAGGAGAAAGTATCTAGCATCCGCAGTCAGATGCAGAAGCATCCCAAGGCCCCAACTGCTGTGCTTCTGTCAATGCTTGATGAGACAGCCTGTGAGTACAGATTTGAAGACATGTGTGGCACCTGGGTTCCCCTAACCCCCAAGCCTACTGGGCCCCGCAAGCATAGGACTCTTCCCCCAACTACCACGTACCCACTAAGTTCTGAGAGCTCTGTGGCCATGGCCTAAGACAGGGGCATCAAACTCATTTACACTGGGGGCCATATCAGCTTTGCAGTTGCCTTCAAAGGGTCAAATGTAATTTCAACTCCTTAATGGTTAAAAAGTAGTTACATTTATACATTCCTGAAATTATTTTGGCCCTTTGAAGGGGAGGAGGAAGGAGATCATGTCTACTGAATAAGGCAATAAGGAAGCCCAGGGCAAGCTGGGGCCAGCCTCCAGGCCACTGATAGAATGGCCTGACCATAGTAGCAAAGGTTCCTGTCTTATGAATGGGAAGAATCCTAACAAACACTCCCCAGGAACCCAGCCACCATCCCATGGCACTCACATACCCAGCTTTAGCAGCTAGTATAGCTCTGTTCTGTTCCTATGTTACTCAGGGCTTCTTACCCAACCCCAGCTCTATGTTTCAGATAATCTGGGAAACCACTGAAACTATGTGCTAGCTGCTGGCTGAGTATCTGCATTTTTCTGGAACAAAAGGTCCATAGCTCTCATCCCTGCTTCAAAGACACTAAGAAATATGCAAAGGTAGATGAAGTGCATATGCTACTGGCAACCTTTAGGGTGCCTAAGCAAACAGTGTGGCATGAGCATCAAATGTGCTGGCCTTAGGCAGTTCAGCCTCATAAATGGTCCTCATCATCTTCTTCCCCAGGGCTCTTCAATCTGCGCAGTAGTGACATCCTTTACAACCCCTTCTTCTATTCCTACACACTGCTCACAAACTCTTCCATCAGGTATGCCTTTTCCTTTGCTTGCTGTGGTGGAGTTCCTCCAATTTCCACCCCTCTCTGCTCCACCACTTATCCCACCCCAATATGCAGACTTCCTATGACCTTGGAGCTTTTCTTGACCCTTTGCCTCTTATTCCCACCTGCTCCAAATTTTGGGTGCTCTGCTCCCTGACCTCCAGAAAAAAATGGCCTCTGGTCCTTTGCATTGTTCTTAGAGACTCTCAAGACCCTCCTGGTCTTGCCTCCCCACCCAGGTTATTTGTAGACAAGAATCGCATTAACTCTGAGACACTGCAGTATCTGAACTCCAGCTGTACAGGCCCCATGTGTGTGCAACTCCAAAATTACAGCCAAGTCTATGACAAAGTCCAAGATTATGCCTCAGGAGCCGTGAGGATATGGATTGGGACCAGCAATACTATGTATGCGCTCTACAAAGTGATACCTGAGGTGGGTTTGCTAGGCCCCAACCCAAGCCAGGCACTACCCCACTCTAGCCCTGATAAGTCTCATCTAAAGTGAGGCCACAGCTCCTTGGTCATTCAGGCAGTTGGTCAGTCAACAGTGGTGCAGTAAGTCCCTTTCTAGGCCTCCCTAGGAAGAGAAGGAAGAAAAACTAAATGTCTACCCACAGAAAATTCAGAGATTGTCAAGGAAGTGAGAGGGAGTACAACCTGGTAGAGCAGAGGCTTTGAAGTAACCAAACCTGAGCCTGAATCCTGGCTTTGCTCCTAGGTGGCTATGCAATGACCTTGGACAACTGCTTAGACAAGATAAGCCTCTGTTACCTCACCTGTAAAATGGTGATAAGAGTCCCAACCTCAGAGGAGTTGCTCCGAGGAGCTTTAGAGGAGATAGAGGGTGTAAAACCCAATGCCTCACACACAGCAGACACTCAATAAATGGCAAATGTTAGGGAACAATATATGCAGGAAACTCACCCTGTCAAAATAGCCCATTGACTGGCAGAGACCAGGCTCTGGTATGTCCCAGAGTGCTGGTGGAATCCAGAGGCAGGGAATTATCTAGAGCAGAGAGGAAGGGAAGGTTAAGCTGGCCATATAAGACTAGGAAAGACCTGCACAGTCAGAAAGCACATAAGGAAAAGTCATTGCCACCATAGGAATGGGCAAGTCTCCCCTTAGCAGGGCTTTCCAGCTAATCCTTTTCAAACACCACTGTGCCCTGGAAAAGGTTCCCAGGTCTCTTTTTCTCTGCCCATGACAGGATAAAGTTGTAGCAGAAACCTACTCACCAGTGATGATAACCAAGGCGGTGAAAAACATCAAGGAGCAGGACCTCCTCAGGGACAGCCATGTAAGTCCATGAGCAGGTACAACAGCCTATTTGGAGCTCCCAGTCTGATGAGTCAGAAAGGAGGCCCTGCAGGGGGAGCCTAAAAAAGTCCGTCCCTTCACTGAAACAAAAGTGGACACAGAATTCTGGGCACTCACCAGTGCTTTACTCCCTTACTTCCAACATGGTACAGTGGTTCAGAACACAGGCCCTGAAGCTAGGGTATCAGAGTTCAAACCCAAGGTCCTCCACTTACCTACAAGCTGGGTGACCTTAGGCAAGTTGCTTCACCTCTCTGGGCCTCATTTGTAAAATAAGGATTATAATAGTAACCTACAGCAGAGGGTTGTTTTGAAGATTAAATAAATGTAAATAAATATACAATGTATATATTATACTATATAGAATATGTGTATATAAAACACATATAATATAAGTAATAAAATAGTCATCCCTCGATATCCACAGAAGATTGGTTCCAGGCCCTGCTCAGATACCCAAATCTGCAGATGCTCAAGTCCCTTATGTAAAATGGCATAATATTTGCATATAACCAACATACATCCTCCCATATAGTTTAAATAATCTCTAGATTACTTACAATACCTAATGCAATGCAAACGTGGTATAAATACAGGGTGGGACAATGGTAAGTTTACAGTTGTGAGTACACAAAAACAGAGTGTATTTTTGTACTATTATTTATTAATTATTGTATTATTTCCATAAAACAACTGTAAACCTACTTTGTCCCATTCTGTAATTGTTATAACTGTATTGTTTAGGGATCAACTTTCTGAAATTTTTTCAGATATGTTTGATTGATGATTGGTTGAATCTGTGAATGTGGAACCTATGCCTATGGAGGACTGACTGTATATAATAACTATTAATAAATTATTAATATGTTTAAATATTTTAAATATATTCATTATAAACCCTGGCTGGTGTGGCTCAGTGGATTTAGTGCTGGCCTGTGAATGGAAAAGTCACTGGTTCACTTCCCAGTGAGGGCACATGCCTGGGTTACAGGCCAGGTTCCTGGTTAAGGGTGTGCAAGAAGCAACCTATCAACGTATCTCTCACACATCAGTGTTTCTCTCCGTCTCCTTCTCTCTCCCTCCCCCCTCTCTAAAAATAAACTCTTAAAAAATAACTATATTCATTATAATATAAAGTATATAATACATAATTATATATTAAATAAATGGGTATATGCATATACATTTAAATACATATAATGTGTATTTACACATAAACACACTATATAAATGTGTAATAATCATATATTAGAGAAATTATATAAATATGTAATTATTACATAAATATAATTGTATGCACATAATTATTGTATTAAATGATATACGTGTATATATTGCTTTGAGCACCATATGGCACATTTTAAGTGTTAAAATAAGTGTTCACTGTAATGATTTTCTCACCCTGGCAAGAAAATGGCTCACTTTTTAAAATATACCTGTTAAAATAAGGATAAAGCACCTAATTTAAGAAAACTTTTTCTTGTGGAAAATCTTATACATATGTGAAGGTGGAGAAAATACCATATTGATCTCCATGCACCATCATCAAGCTTAGCCATCATCAAGTCACAACCAATCCCATTTTATCTGCAAGTCCATATTCCCTTCCTACACTCCCTGCCCTCTGCTGCTGGGTGACCTTAAAGCAAATCCCAGATATTATATACTTCTTCTGTTAATATATCACTAAGTATCTCTAAACGATAAGGACTATGTAAATTAAACATCACCACCTTGTGATCATATAAATAAACAGTAACAAGAATCTCTTAATATCATCAAATAGCTGGCGAATACCTCATGTTCTTCAAGTTCAGCTCCCAGAGCAGCCACCTGATCTCGTGGATCCCTAAGCCTTGACTGAGACTTTTCCTCAGCCGTCTTCTCTGCTTGCCCTGCTCCAGGTCCGGGATGCTGTACCAGTGATCCGCTACTTGGTGTGGCTACAGAAGAACGTGCCCAAAGGCATCGTAAATGAGTTTTCAGGGGCAGAGCGGCTGGACAGCTTCCGAGGGTGAAGGACCATAGCTATCCTTTATGGCTGACTGTCTTTTAATGTGGGGACGGGGGGAAAGGTGGGGGCTTGGTCTCCCTACTTAGGGGGAAGGAAGACCCTCCTTGTATTTGTGGACTTCTTTGGAACAAGGAGTGACAGGTTGTTGGGTGGACCTGTAGATAGGCACCAGCTGTTGGATGACATTCTCCAGCCCCCAATGGCAATCCTACAACTTCAAGGGCTACAACTCAACCACTCCCCCTAGTGTCTGCTTCAGGCACAGGCCGTTCTCCCTGGGGGAAGCTTGTTCACGTTTATTGGCCTGTGGATCACTTGAGAATATCAACTTGAGGAGGGAGATTTCCTGAGAGCGCGTTTGGCCCAGGCCATAGGCAGACTGTAGGTCTGAGGTGCAGGATGCTGCTCCTGGGCTGGAGAAGTTTTTAAATCCAGGGAGCTAGTTTCTTCACTCTTGCTTTACCACGAACACACTGTGAGTCATATAGGCCTTGGTTTCCCCATCTGTAAAATGGAGGTGGAGGAAGAATAACTGGTGTCTACAGTTCTTCCATCTCTAACCTTGAGTGCTCTGTAAGTGGCAAGTCGGGACTTGGGAAGGTGAAACCAAAAGATGAGGCTGGGAAAGTCTGGCAGAGGTAGAGGCAGCTGTGACCTTCCTTTGCCCTAGTTAGATATGAATGGGTTCATTCACTGAGTACTCCTGCCTTGCACTTTTCAGGGAAGAAAAGTTCTTTTCTGGACCCAGTTTCAAAACCATCTCTGCTAGTGGTCTGAATGCTGCCATGGCCCACTACAGGTACTTGAGGAGAAAGAATTTTCTAGGGCTCTGTGGGGGGATCCCAGTGCATGTGCAAGGGGTATGGAGGTGGAAAAGGGAGTGATCTGGGACCTGAGTCCATATTAAAGTTTGAGGCTTTTAGCACAGTGGAGGTTGGGGGTGGGAGTGGAGTCCAGTGGATGAGTTGCGAGTCCTTGGAATTAAAAGGCCTGAGCAATTTTCCCCCAAGAGGCTGGGACTTTGAGTGCTTACAGCTAAGGGATCTGGAAAGGATGCAGGACTTCTGATGGATGCTTTTCCTTGGCGTCCTGTGAGTTATTTATGTTAGCTAATTCTTAAAGCTTATAAACACATGGGGGAAAAAAAGCCTGCTCAGTCATTCTGAACCAACTAAGAGGGGCCCAAGATGTAGGCTGGCCAGATGTTTGGTTCCATTGGGGAAAAAACACCTGTAGGCCTACTTGATGAAATTTGGGGGATCAAGCTGTCCAAATGCCCCAACCTGGCATGAGCACAGCAAGGATAGGTCAGATACTCTCCAAGGGCTGGCTTGGCCGATCCCATAACTCCCTCCCCTGGCATCTCACAAGCCCTTATCTCCCTTGGCCTGCGTAAGAACCCCTTGGCCGTACCAAGCCTTGCTCCCCACTCCCATCCTTGGGTACCCTTCTTTTCTGCACCCTGGCTTTTCAGGGCCCTCTGCTCTAGGACACAGCAGGAAGTTAGAGTCCAGACCTGGCTCCCTCCCAGCTTTACACTGTGGCCTTTTGCAGGCCCCTTGGCCTCTGCAGACTGGTTTTTCCTTATATAAAAAGAGATGACTACAGTGGGTGCTTTCTAAGGTTCTCTCAGCTTCCACATTCCGGGCATTCCTTCTCTCTTCCCTGGAGACCAGGACCTTGTTTGTGAAGTGCAGCATAAACAGGTACATGTTGAGGACATACGTGGTAGAAGCTGCAAACTTCCCTAGGGGTCCTTTTGGAGACAGTGACTTCTCCAAAAGAGTCAACCTGGAAGTCCAACCCCCAGGGGTGAGGGGGAATTCCTCTGCTTTCATTCAGGATCACCACCTCACCCAGCACAGAGATAGGCTGCTCCTTTTCTCAGCATCTCTCCCCTTCTTAGCCCAACCAAGGAAGTACACCGAAATCTGTCTTCAAGTGAGATGTACCTGGTGGATTCTGGGGGACAATACTGGTAAGTAGCCTCCACCATGCCCTGGCTCAGCTCTCTCAATGCAGACACCCTGGGCTGGTCAAAAGCTGGCCAAAGCTGTCTCTTTCTGGGCATGGATTCTTCATCCGAGAAAGGAGAGTCCTGCATTGAATGAGCCTTCCCATTTTTACACTTGGGGGGATCGTTTACAGTAGGAAGCACACAGAAACCAAAACAGTGGGGTTGCACATGCAGCACCTCAGTGGGAAGCAGGAAAAGACTCCTCTTGCTCAAATAAAATGTTTTTAAGCCCAAATATTATTACACAGTCTGAACAGTCATGTTTAGCAGCCCTGTCTGGCTGTACAAAGAGTGCACCCATACTCTCACCCACTAATGCACACCCTGGACACAGCCCCTACACCCCCAGTGCCATGTATCCTCCTCAGCTCCCTTCCGTCCCAAATGGATGGGTGAGTTGACCATGCCAGTGAGTGGAATCAGAATCGAGCCTACAAAAGCAACGGATAGGCAAAAGCAACCTCAGGGGACACCCGAGGCACAGTTGAGACAGGGCACACCCATCAGCATAGATATATGTCTGTGAGTAGAAATGTGTGTGTGCTCCTCTGAACGCATGCAAAACCACATGTAGGGCATGCAAAATCTCCTATGTAAGAGGGTGCTGTCCCCCTGCACCAGAATTCTACAATCTGTGTGTCCACCTGTGTGCTATCATTTAAATTATTAAAGAACCATAAAGTGAATAATATCCCATTAGATGTTTTACCCCTACACAATGCACAACCAGAGCAACCAGATATGATGACAATACAGAATAAGCTAACCCCATTCTGTCCAAATATGTGACTAATCATTTATTCACACAAGAGCTGAGCTGAGAAGAACTGGGAAAGTTTCCCTTCTGATCCTAGGAAGCAAGTAGACTGTAGGATGCTTAGACAGGGGTAGGGAAGAAGGAGTGCCAGAACTGATGGAAAAGTAAGGAATAACTTTGAACAATTTGCCATCCTCTATCCCGTAGAAATGGTGAATGTGCTAATGACAAAGGCACCTGGCATGTTCTAAATACAGTTCTGGGAACCAGCACAGCAAGCATTCAGACTAGCAGCCTTTCTTATTCACCAGTGTGGCTCTTTGTGTACTGGATACAGCCAATGTGCAAAGGGGAAGTGAATTTTTTAGGGCACTGTTGCACTGGGGTGCACTCAGAGCAAGACGATGCCAGGGAAATTGTCACCTCACTTTTTCTCTCCTTCTGAGGAAGTCTTCCAAGCCCTGTGACCTGTTCCCAATGAGGAGTCCCGAGGGCTCTGGGACCTTCTTCATTCTCCTTCCCCCAGGGGTGGCCACATGGGCCATCCTAGGAGAACAGCTGCATCTGGGGTTGGAAGTCAGACCTTTTGGCTTCTGGTGTCTGGCTTCAATTCACTGGGACTCTGAGCGAATTCCTGGGTCAGATCCATGTTTATGATGGAGCAAATATGTGGAGAGTGAGTGCTTGCTGCAGGTCTGGCCTCACTAAGGCTCAGAGAGGGATATGGCCTCCTGGCCTCAACTGCCTCATCTGTGAAATGGAGATAATCAGGCCTGCTCTATCTCCCTTCCCAGTGAGCTGCCAAAAGTGTTCTATAGATGGTAAATAACTATCTGAATGTGTGTGTTATGCTCTCTCTGTTCCTCAGTTTCCCCATCTATAAAACAGGCGATCCCCTGACATTTCACACAAAACCTGGAAGAACCCTTCTTTTAGAGTCAGCCTGACCCGAGCAAACCAAAGTTTACAAACAGCCAAAATGGGGAGGGGGCATGGATTTAGAGTATGTTTGTGGGAAATAAAGATTTCCTGAAAATGTAGTGATTTGCACTTCATAACTTTGCAGAGACCCTTCACACATAAATGCTGAAAATGAGCATTTGATGATGGCAGCCATCTTCTTTCTTTCACTGCCCACTCCACCCCTGCCCCAGCCCTGCCACTCAAACCCCCATGAAAATCACACAGGAAACACACAACCATGGTCCCTACTCTGAGGTATTAGCAGAGCTGGACATGTTGATTTTCCTTCTACACAGGGACGGAACCACAGACATCACCAGGACAGTCCACTGGGGCACCCCCTCTGCTTTCCAAAAGGTAAACATTTCCTCTACCCACCCTCATTCAAGGGACACCCAAGAAATCACTCTAGTAAGAGCCCTTTCATTTTACAGAATCTAAAACTGAAGACCAGAGAGGTTAATAATTTCCACATGTTCACATAGCAAATTAGTACCCAATTACAAAACCCAATACTCCCAGGTACTTCTCCAAAGATGTTTCAGGCCATGAACAAAACTTCACAATCTATGGGGCTACTTGTGCACTGTCATTGAAATTAGTACATATCCATGATGTAAATGGCATTCATTTAGTTGTGCCCAAGCTTATCATCATCCCACTTCAGTAAATCGATGAACAAATATTTACTTGGTGCTGTGCGCCTAGCCCCTGTGCTCAGCAGAAAGGAGGAAGAAAGACATTCCAGGAAGAGAAATGGCACAAGCAAAGTCTCAGAGGTAGAAAGGAGCTGGAGCTTTTCAGGAGGTAGTGAGGGTTGGTCTGCCTGGTGAAGAAGCTAGGACCTCATCTATGTGCACTAGGGGCCTCTGGGAAAGGTAGAGTACAGAGAGCTGCATTCATGCATTCAGCAAGTAGACTATGGCTCAGGCATTGTGCTGGAAACAGAGAAAAAGCCAACACTGGTTAGGACTCAAGGAGCTCACAGCTTAGTGGGTTAAGTCCACTGCCCCAGACTGCCTGAGATTAAAAACCTCTGTGTGTGTGTGTGTGTGTGTGTGTGTGTGTGTGTGTGTGTGTGTAGGACTCACCATGTTGCCACAGGGAGTAACCAGGAAAAGAGGCTGATGTCAGCCCACTTTCCAAATAGCCTTGAGTGAACAAGGCTGACTTGCCAGATTATCAGACCCCAACCCAAACTTAAAATCTTAAGAAAACTAAAGGATGATTATGATAATAGTAATAAGGACACTGACTTCAATTTGAGTATTTACTCTGGAGCACCTTACGTGCATGAGTCTCCCTACTGCTCCCAGCAACATTATGGGGTGGTACTGTGATTGTCCCATTATAGATGATTAAAGTGAGGCACAGAGGTTAGGCACAGAGGTTAAGGCACAGACCTTGCTTACTCAAGGTCTCAGAATTTTTAAGTAGCAAAATCAGGATTCCAACCCAAGGAGTTTGCCTTCTAAGCCCTTGCCGTCACTGCCTCAGATCACCATTATTTACAAGTATACAGTGGACCAGCCAAAGAGAACTGCATGGACCAAGCCCCAGCTTTGGGCATATCCCCCTCAGCCTCCTCTAACCATCTTTCAGAGCCTGCGTGACCACAGATGAACCTACACCTCCCTCCAAACAACTGCCCTCCCCACAGGCCTGGGCCCACATACCTGCATATATGCACAGTCCAAACACCTGGAACTCTCAAGCTCTCCCTCTTGTGTGCCACATCACTTCTCCCTCTCTCCCATCAGGAGGCATATACCCGCGTGTTGATAGGAAATATTGATCTGTCCAGACTCATCTTTCCTGCTGGTACATCAGGTAGGTTTCTGAGACCAGCCTGGACCCAAAGTCTTAGGCACTGATTTCATTAGACCCAGACCACCACCCCGGGGAGGTTGGTGAGGCTGGTGAGGCAGGGATTATTATACCATCATACCATATACTGTATAGATAAGAACATCCAGCCTAGAGAAAGAAAGTGATTTGCCCAAGGCTGCACAGGGGGTCAGTAGGAGAACCAGGGCTTGAACCCAAGCCTCCTGCCTTGTAATCTAAGGGTAGCTCAGTTTGGAGAGGATTCTTGGAGGAAATAGGTGTCTTGATGAATGAGGAGAAATTGTAGTAGAGTCATGATCCCAAGTAATGGGAAAAACATAATGTGTGCTGGAGATAGTACATGCTTACCTGCCTCTCAGCAGCCCCTCTCCACAGGCACCCTGGCAGTTAGCTTTGAAACAAGAAAGCAAGAAGGAGCAAGATGAACCTCAGTCAGCAAGTCTGGGGTCTAGCCAACTAACTGGGGGCCATCTCTCTCCTAGGACTAAGGTTGGAAGCCTTTGCACGCAAAGCCTTGTGGGATGTTGGACTCAATTATGGTCATGGGACAGGCCATGGCATTGGCAACTTCCTGGGTGTGCACGAGTGTAGGTATCTCCTCAACACTCCCTTAAGACCCCCCTTTTTCTGAAGGTGGTAGAGTCTTTCACAGTTATGGAAATGACCAAGACCTTCAGAGATGCAGTGATCTGCCCAAATTTACCCAGCTGGTGGGAAGTGATGCTCCCAGGGGTAAGTGAGAAATGCTGGCAGCTGGCCAATCCTGCTGCCTGCCTGGCACCTGGGAAGTCCCCAGAAAGAGGAGTAGCAGGTGTATACCTAGTGGCTGACTAAAATAGAGCCTTCAGAAATAAAAGCCAGGGCCAATCTTGTCTGTACAAGTCCCAGGTAGACAATGATATGGTGGACAAGTGCTGCTAGAGGAGCTCAGAGCTCAGGGCTCCCCAATTACCTGCCGTTCCCTGGAATCTGCTAGTTTCTAAGCTGGTAAGTACTGGAGAGCTGACACTTTACCTACATCTTTTTTTCCAGGGCCAGTGGGATTCCAGTCCAACAGCATTACTATGAACAAGGGCATGTTCACTTCCATCGGTATGACTCTCAGGCTCCTCCACCCATCCTTACCCTAAAACTAAGCCAGGACTGCAGTCTAGGGTGAATAATGGGCACAGGCACACCTGTGCTCCACTTCTGCCCTCCCTCTACTCCTCACTTCTAGTCCTCAATAGATTGTCCCACCCTAATCTCAGGCCCCTTCAGTCCATATCCTCATTTTGCTCTTGGAAGTTGTTTCCCACCTGTAAATCCAAACTATAGTCTTTAGTCAAATGCTAGGGTAACAGAACGGTGGCACACAAGGATATGAGGGTACCTTCAGGACCTAATTGGGCCCAGAAGTCTTCCCCACTGGGCTACAAGGGAGGGTGGGGAAGCTCAAGCCCAGCAGGTTGCTTCTGGGTAGCCAATGAACATTTAACAAGAGGTGGGTCGGCTCTAGCCACCAGCTGAAGGCAGCCAGGCAACCAGCCTCTGTAGCCACTCCTCAATTGGTACAGAGAGCCTGGGCTCCAGTCCTCCCCCTGTTTAATGACACTAGCATCTCTGTGTCTCCCAGAACCTGGTTACTATCAGGATGGTGAATTTGGGATCCGCCTTGAAGATGTGGCCCTTGTGGTAGAAGCAAAGACCAAGGTAAACTGCCACTGAGATGGTCTGCAGGTTTAAACAGCATGGCAGTGACTTTGGGCTGTGTGTATGTGTTGGGTGGGGAGGATTTACAGAAGGGAAAAGGAGAAGGGCATTTGAGTATGTAGACATGAATCTACTTGGAGTCTTCCTCAGCTCCAGAAAAATTCCATAAATTGGAGTTTCTCTAATATGCAAACCTGTTTGCATATTAGAATATTAGAATCATCTAGAGAGATTTCCTCTTTTTAATGCCAATGCCCAGGTCCTACTCCAAATGAATCAGTATTCCTGCCCCAAATCACTGGTTCTTGATGCACATAATATTCACCAGGAGAGCTTGTTAGGAGTAGCAATTCCAAATAATAGCAACCAACAAGATAAAATAACCAGGTACAACCTTAAAAAACTTACATGGAAGAAATCTCTATTCAGGGACACACACACACACACACACACACACACACACACACACACAAAGATTTAAGTAAACAATGCTCTCTGGAAAGAAACCTCAATATTATGATTATGTCATTTCTCTTTAAATCTGTAAATTCAAGCCAACCTCAATTTCAGCAGTACTACTAGCTGGGTGTCCTTGTAACTTTACAAAGTGATAGTAAAGTTTATTTGTAAAAATGAACATAAAAAGAGCTACATAGCCCTGATTGATGTGGTTCAATTGGTTAGACTTTGTCCCACAAAGTGAAAGGTCACTGGTTTGATTCCCAGACAGGAAACATGCCTACTTAGGTTGGGGGTTCAGTCCCTGGTCGGGAAGTGTACAAGAGGCAAGTGGTCAATGTTTCTCTCTAGTATTGATGTTTCTTTCTCTCTAAAAAATAAATAAACTTAAAAAACAGCTAATTAGTTAGGAAAATTCTTTTAAAAAAGAGCAAAAAGGGAAACTAGCCTTTTCAGATATTAGCACATGCTATGAAGCTACCATAAATAAAACAGTGTGACACTGGAGATGAGAGAAGCAGATATGACAATGGAACACAAAAGATAGCCCAGAAATAGACCCTCTAATATCTATAAGTGAAATAGGAATTTAGTTTAAAATAAAACTGGCATTCCAAAATAGTAAAGAATAGAGAAATTGTTTAATAAATGGAAGGGAGAACAAATAGCTTAATTTGTTCAAAATTCCCCATTTGGGAATGGGGATTAAACCAAAGAACGTCACTATTACACTAAAATAAAATTCCAAATGAATCAAGCCTTCAATGTGAAACCATAAAAGATCTAGAAGAAAACTTATATGAATTCATTTTTAATCCTAAGGTGGAAAAGAATCTTTCTGTGTAAGACCCAGAATCCATAAAGAAAAATATTAATAATTCTAACTAAATCAAATAAAAAAGTCCATATGGAAACAATACCACAAATCAAAAGATGTAGCAAAAATACAGCAAATGTGTCATAAAAAGGGTGAATGTCTTTTTATCACCATCTTTTACAAATCAATAAGACAAAAAATAGGGAAAAATGGGCAAAAGGCATGAAGAGGCAACTCACTAAGATCAACACAGATGATCCATAAATGTGAAAAGATCTCGATTTAATTTTTAAAGAGATACAAGTTAAAACAACAGAATACCATGTTCCACCTGTTTGATTGGAAAAAAAGTGACACTTTGATGATACCCAGTGCTGGTGGGTTTGTGGGAAACAGACACACCCATACACTTCCGGGGGAAGTACAAATTGGTATAACCTTTCTGAAGGGCAATTTGGCAATATCTATCAAAATTACTATTAAAAATGCCTATACTTCTTGTCTCAGTATTCCCTCTGCCAGATATATAACTTCTGGATATAGTCACAAAAGGCCACCAAGATGTTTCTATGCAATGACGTTCACTGTAGCATCAATGGTAATAGTTTAAAGAGTAAAAACAAGTCTAAATATCTATCCCTGATTAAACAAACCATGATCCACATAATATAGTTCCTTATATTGCCCTTAAAAAGAACAAGTTGCAACTCTCTGTGCTAATATGGAGTGGTGTCCTAGGTTTACTACTGATGTAGGGTGTGTAAGAGAATGCACTGAGTAGTATATGGTAAGGTCCATTTTGCATGAATTTTTAAAATATAATATATATATATATATATATATATATATATATATATATATATATATATATACCGTATATATCTAAAATGTTTTCAGGAAGAAAACCAGGCAAGCAGGAGACTTTCAAATTTTATTGGGTATTTTTTTATACTTTGAATTTTCTAAACACATACATGCAAAAGAGCTCTGTAAGAGTTGAAAATTACGGGCTATTTTTTTTCTTTATACTTCCTCTATAGATAGATCCATCAATAGAGACATAGAAAAAATATGGATAGAGATATATAGATTCAGATACAGATTAGATAGATGGGTATAAAAATGTAATACTTATCTTTAAATTATTTAATTGTATATTCCCAATCCTCTCCTAGAGATTCGCACTCCAGTGGTCTTGGAGGTTGGTCCCAGAATCTACACATTTAACAAGCTCCCTAGGTGCTGTGTGGATTCACACACTTGAGAAATACAGACCTAAGTATAAATTTAGGAATCAGAAGAGAAGCACCAAAGATGGAGTGCTGAGTTGTAGAGAGGAGGGTAACCAAGGGCAATGTCCAAGACTAAGGCCTCCCCTGAGTCTTGGGTTTAACAAGGGTCAGTTCTTTGTGCCTGTGGCTTCTGGGTGGAGTGTTCCAGCCCACCCTTCAGCCTAGCTCTTCCTCACTTACTTTCTGCTTTCCCATCTTCCCCGTGGCCTCCCAGTACCCAGGAACCTACCTGACCTTTGAAGTGGTGTCCTTTGTGCCTTATGACCGGAACCTCATTGATGTCAGCCTGCTGTCCTCAGAGCAAGTGAGTTCCCCTCAGCATTGGCTACCCTTCAGCATCTGAACCAATGCCTGTCTTCTCTACCCTGAGTTTCTCTCACCTTTGCTCCCCTTACCCGAGGACCCTCTGTCCCTTCCTTTTTGCTGAGAGGGTCCACACTGATGACACCAGTAGGCATACACTGAAGTGTTCCTCCCTCACTTACTAGAGACCCCAGGGGTTCTAGAACTCTCCAGTCAGACCAGCCTGCCCAACCCTATGTAGTAAACTCCTGGGGAATCTGAGTTGGGATTTCTAGACTCTTCCATCTCAAGTCCTAGACCTAAAGTCAATCCCTTTCCCTCTCTGGGCCACAAATCCCTCTTCTCTAGAATGGGATAATAATGCCTGCCCTACTTACTCTCATTCCCATGCCTGAAATTCACTCCCCCCTCCACCCATACCCCATGAAAGTCACTATGACATTAAATAGCCACTGTGTCAAACTGCCTCCGAAAAAACTCCAGAAAACACCTGAAGCCTGATGGTGGCTGGGGAATCAGGAATGAAACACCAAAGATGGAGTGCTAAGTGCATAAGTGCATAGATTTGGGGATCTATGGACCTATGGTTAGCTGAGTCAAGGTGGGCAGCTGGACCATTACAGCAGGGGACTGGATGGCACCTCTCTTGTTGGCAGCTCACCCTGTGAAAGACATCATCCCTCCTATCCTTTGCAGCTCCAGTACCTCAACCGCTATTACCAGACCATCCGTGAGAAGGTGGGCCCTGAGCTGCAGCGACGCAAGCTGCTGGAAGAATTCGAGTGGCTGCAGCAGCACACAGAGCCCCTGTCTGCAGGTGCACCATGCACCACCTTCTTGGCCTCTCTGTTGGCAATATCCACTCTTGCCATTCTCAACTGAAGTGTCTAGAGGCCTAAGACTCCCCTACTAACCCTCTCACTCAGCTCCCTTCATCCTGTACCACCCATGGGCCCCAAGAACTTCTGCTGGACCATTGCCTGGAAACCTTTGCTCTTACCCTCCTTCTCCAGGATCAAGTCCCAAGTACTGAGGGATATTTTGGCCCCAGGCAGACCCCTGTTTGGCTTGTACACCTCACCCTAGGCTCCCCATCCCGGGATCAAGAGCCAACTAGTTCCTTTCCTCAACAGGTCTAACCTATAACCTGGCAGAGCCTATTGCTGCTGCCCCCCAAAGAGCAATATAGGGCAGTACCTTACCCCCAGGTACCCCAGGGCTCTGGGATAGCCCCACCTTAAACCCACCAGAGCTGCTGTCTCACACTGACTCCTAACTCCTTGGTCTTCCCACACTCTTGAGGCTGCCTCTGGACACCTTGACCTGTCCTTGGTTCTATTATGATCTTCTGGTTGCTGCCCATAAGTTGAAGGAACAAGGGCTGCTTCCAGGCTTCCTACTGGGCCTGTAAAGAGAGAGGAAGGGAGGGTGGTTGAATCTTCAGGTGCCATACTACCACCCCAGCATCAGGAAGACCAGCCAGGGAGGGGTCATATACACCAGTCCTTCACCCAACATGTGAACCCATTGCTCCTAAACCCTGGGTGGGCTCCATGCCAGGTGACAAGATATAGAGTTAAGCCATAGGAATTTGGCCATGGAGCGGGAGGGAATTTGGAAAGCCCTCTGGAACATGGCCCTGCCCAAATGTGTGAACAGCCAGAACAGTGATGCTGAATCACTAGCTCACATTTCCTGACATATGGGAACCCTTTTAACTTTCCAAAGTGCAGCCACAGTGACAATACCGTTAAATCCTTTAGCATCCTTGGAAGACCATTAACCTATGTGGTCAGTGTCTGGTTTCCCCATTTTACATATAGGAAAACTGAATTCCAGAAAGGTTGGGACATGGTGGGACCAGAATAGGCTGACAGTCCAGTTCTTTTGGTCTTTAGCATCAGGGAGAATCACTTAGCCTGTCTCCCAGACTCTTCCTGGTCCCTGAGCCCATTGTTGGGGCAAGGGCCAGTTTTCTCTGGCCAGCCCAGCCCAGCCCAGCCCAGCCATTAGCCACCTGGGCTCGCATCCTGCTAGATACTTAAAACAACCTGACAACGAAGCCTGCCTTTGGGTTTTGCATTGTGTCTGTTTTGTTGCTGAAGACTGCTGTTACTGTGGCTTTTGTGGTAGGGGAAGAAGGGGAGGGGGTGAGGTGGGGGTTGGGCTGCGAGGCTCCCAGAAGCTCAGCTGAGGAGCTCATGTACTTGACAATGTGCATGTAAGCATGCGTACAGTGTTCCTGTGTTTGCATGCATGCCACGCCCAGCCGACCACCTCCTGTGCTAAAGGTCTTGGAGCCTTATGGAGGGGACAGAAGAGAGCCTTACACTGAGGTACTTGTCAAATGTGATCCAGGAGGGTTGGGGTCACCACTTTTGCTTAGAGGAGCATAATCAGAGGGAGGAGAGAACAAAGTTTCTGAGGCAGAGTGCTAGGAAAAGGCACCAGGCAGAGGATTCCTCTAGTTTGGGACCACCAGACCTAGTTTGCCTGTGACAGTTATCACCAGCGATGCTTGCATCCAAAGGCCCCAGCTCTGAGCCATCCTCACTGACAGCTTCTACTACCCAACAGTGGGCCTCTGTTGACTGAGTCATTTGTTCCCTCACATTCTCACCCAACAAAGACAGCTACTACTAATAAAATTAAAGGTACCAACACCATCATCATTATCATTAGTGCTACTATCTACTGAGTGTTTAGTATGTACCAGGAACTCCACTTTACATGCATTCTTTAAAAAAAATTTTTGTGGTAAGAAGACTAAATGTGAGATCAACTTTCTTAATAAGTGTACACTATTTCATTTTCTCACCTAATTACTGTCTGTGAGAAGGTTCTATTATTGTTCCCATTTTAAAAGAGAGGCTTATAGAGATTAACCAACTTGCTCAAGGTTACCAATCAAGGAAATGAAAAAAGCAGAATTCAAACCAGTCAGATTACTCTAGAACTCATTCTAGAAAAAGGCAAGGAATGTGCTTACAACATTTTATGGATGAGAAAACAAGCTCAACCAAGATCACACAGCTGGTGAGCTGCAACTCAAACCTAACTGGTGTTCTCCACACTACGCTGCTTCCCCAGGACCTTCCCCTTCCAGGTCTTTACCTTTGGGCCCTGACATTTGCTCCTGTGATTCTGGCTGGCTATGGACAGCAGGAGGGCCCTTGGTATTTAACCAAGACCTACTCCCAGGTCTTTCAGCCCACAGGGGCTCACATGCTCCATTTCCCCCTCTTCCTAGTGTTCTGCCTTGTCTCTACCATGTAACTTAACTGCCCCTTCCAATCCACCATCTTGGGATTGAGAACTCCCACCCCAGAAGCTTGGCTACAGAGGAAGCTACCACCCTAGATCCTCCCTTTCAATGTCCCTTCCAGGCACACTGACCATCCTGCTTTAGGGTTTACACTCTGGACCAGACAGGGAAATACTCAGGGTACACACAGCAGGGCAAACATATGTGGGAGCACTTGAGACATTCACCCCTATGAACTAAAGATAAATAAATGTCCAGTTGGGCTTTGGCCCTTTGTTGTTATATTAGAGGATGGGGCTTACCAAACCCCTCCTCACTCTCTGATTGCCACTGTGGAACAAGCCATGTAGAAAATCTCCTTTTCCTAGGAGTTAGGATTCTAACGTTCTAGTCCCAGCTCTGCTGGTTATGTTACCTTAGGCAAGTCCCTTTGCCTCTCTGGTCTTTAGTTGTCCCTCCTGTAAATGACCTGTACCATCTGCCCAATGAGGTTACAGTGAGAAGCTCATAGAGAAGAGATGATAATGCTATTTGTCCAGCATGACTTCAACTCTTGCCTCACCTTTGGAAGTATGTAAGGACAAGGTTTGGGGCCCAATTTTTATATATAAACCATCAAATTTAGATAGGCTTTTGAGAAAGTATCTAATTTGTGTTTTATCACCTCTGCTCCCTAGAGCCCAGGCTTCCTGAAAAATGTCACAATGGCTTCCATAGAAAGAGCTCCAGCCAAAAGCAGCCTGGATGGGCTTCCCATCAAATTTGTATTTGCAAGTAGTTGCTGGGCCAGCTTCATGGGTCATCTGCCTATGCAGTAGTGTGGTAAGCACAAGGCCGTGCACTTGATTAGATGCTTTGCTTAGAAAGGCCTGCTCTTGATTTAATGTTCTAGGGTCCCCATCTTGAAATTTTTAATAATTCTTAAACAAGAGGCCCCACATTTTCATTTTGCACCAAGCCCTGCAAACTGCATAGCCAGCTCTAATTAGCAGCTCCTTGACCAAACAAAAAGTAGGTTTGATTCCTTCATTGTACATATAGGGAAACATCAACAGCAGCCCAGAAATAGGAAAGAACTTGCCCAAGATCATAGTGCCCTTTGGGGCCAAAGCTGGGACTAAATTTCCAGTTGTCCTAACTCAGCTCTGTGCTGACTCCTCCCTCATTTTCAGTGGGTGTTTCCGTCACTCCCTCACTGTCTCTGATGAGCAATGTGGGGCCCAAGGAGAGCTGTGTGAGGTCACACAGCTATCACAACAGTGGTTCTGGTGGCAATGAGATAGATATCTTAATGCTTTAAATTCTGTTTGGAAGAGGAAAGGACAAGGGCAAGATGATAGATAGATACATATATACACAGAGTCCAGATGGTTCATTTTAAAAATCATAACTTAAGTCAGTCTTCACTCATTTTGCAGCCAGCTGGCTCCAGGTCTTCATGGACTGGGACTGTGGAAAGAGCAGGGTTGGCTACTCTTCACACAGCTAATCCATGTCAGCAGCGAATTTTACCAACTCACCAGTCACTTCCTCAAATCAGTGGTTGGGCACTCTTGGTGCCAAGAAAAAGAAATATGAAAGATTCAGTAGCAACTGTTTCCTTCTTGTCTGTCCATCCCTGCCTTCCAAGGCTGTCTCAGATAGGAGTAGGAGGTACTCCCCAACCCCACCCAGCCAACCAACCCTTGCCCTGAGGCTGCCCATCTTCTCACTTCCTTGTTTCTTTGTGAAACAGGAACTGAGCAACTAGAGTAAAATTGGTAGTTGAGAAAGCCCCAGTGGTCCACGACAAGATCATGAAGCTGAAAATCTAATTTCCCTCCCAGCTGTCCCACATAAGTGGTTCTAGGCGTTCTTGCTTGTCACACCTCATGTATTCTAGAATAGCTTGGAATAGCTGGACCATTAACAAGGTAGAGACACAAGGACATGAGCCATAGGATCATGGAGCAGTGATTCAGGTGGGGCCCAGATGAAATATAGAAGCAAGTACCCAGGCAAGAGAAGAAACACTGGGTGGAGCCTGTAGTAAACAGAAGTAGAGTCGACTACTGGGTACCAAGCATTTTCTGTGAGCTGGGCACTGAGCTAAAATAGCCTCTTTAAACAGGTCATCTGGGTAACTCTGGTTACTTACACACACACACACACACACACACACACACACACACACACACACACACACCAATCCTGCTCCCCAAGCAAGGCTCACATGATCTCTGTCTGTTACTGTCTTCACTGAACCTCATTGACCAAGGTCACTTACCCAAGGTCATATAGCCAGTAATGAGGTACGGTGATTTGAATCCAATTCTACCTGACTCCATTTCTTGCTCCTCTCCTTTCCTAGAGCCCTGGACAATTTTCTCCTAGACTACTCAGTGACCTTTGTCTTTGTAACCTTGGGACAAAGGCCATGACAGAGCAGCCCGTAGAAAGGGCATCCAGTGAATTTTTATCTGAGCACCAAAACCCAGCCTCCTCTCTGCTGGTAATTCCCACAGCTGCCTGCAGGTGTTTTCTTGCTTTTAAGCCAAGAACTTATCAAGAGTTCAGAGATTCAGAGATGACTGTCTCTCCCTCCCATCATTCCCTGCTACCAGGGATTTTCCAGTGTCCCCAGAGCTACAAACTGTGTGTGTGTGCATAAGGAATGGATGATTCTCACTCAGGTCCCTTGCTCACCTTTGTCCTCCTTCTCCCATGTGCACTTTTGCTCTTCTTGCCCCTTCTGCCTAAGATTACCATCATGAAATCTGCTAATGGGTCAGGCTAACAACTGGACTTCACCTTGGAAATGCCCAGGTATTTTCAAGGGACTATATGGTCTCTGCTTGAGCATTTTTAGAGATGGGAAGATCATTATTCACCAGGGCTCAGGTAGTACCATTTGAATATTGAAAATATCTTTTTTGGAAAGAACACAAGCCTTCCATTGATCAGTTCCCCATCATTCCTGGCCACCCAGAACACATCTCCTACATGAGCAGTCCCCAACCTTTTTGGCATCAGGGACCAGTTTCATGGCAGACAGTTTTTACATGGACCGGGGGTGGGGGGTGAGCATGGTTTTAGGATGATTCAAGTGCATTACATTCAAGCTCACCTCCTGTTGTGCAGCCCAGTTTCTAACAGGCCCAGACGAGTGCTGGTCCATGGCCCATTTTGGGGGGACCCCTGCCTTACATGACAGCTGTTTGAAGTCAACTTGCTTTCCCACAGAATCCTCTAGATCAAGTACTACAGGTGGTAAGTACTCCCCAGGTTGACAAAAGCTCCCCTATAGGTCACCCCACTTAATCAACTTTAGCTATCCAGCTATTGTGCATATGATGTGACTCTCAGATACCCACCCCATCCTCTTTACTGCCCTCTAGGCCTGCTTCAAGGTGGCCCTGTGGCACCTAGTCTGACACCTGACTAATGTAGGGTGTCAATTCTCTTACCTCCTCTTTCTGGTACTCTGCATCAGAGGCACCTGAGCCTAGTGCTTGATAGTATGGGCTGTGGACCAAGAGCAGACCTGTATTTAAAACTCAGCTTGCCCTACTGCCTAGCTGTATCTTACACAGTTTGCTGAACCCCTCTGAGCTTCAGCTTCCTGCCTGGAAAATTGAGATAACAATGGTGCCTGCCTCATAGGGTTGTAGTTAAGTCCACTGTGTGTGTAGCAGGGAGAGGTGAGAACAATAATCATTTGGAAAGCTATTCCAAATATAGGTACCCCTCATTATCCAGACTCTCACTTTCTCAAATCAGCACTGTACCCATTTGGAGGGTAAAGGATACTTTCACACATGTCAGGGTCCCACCTGGCCCAAATACCTTACCCTTGATCTTCTACTAAATTAGGATCTCTCGGGAGGTGCAAGTGGGAGCCTGCTTTATGTGAATGTAGCCTATGAAGACCTTTGTGTCTTCGGCAACTCTGTGTTTACCCTTTGAGGGTTCAGATAGATCTCACTATCAGTAGACTACCTTCCAACACACACACACACACACACACACACACACACACACACACACACAATATTGCTGCTAAATTAAGGCTCTCTTGCTCTACATTTATAAGGGGCACATCTTTGCAATAATAATCCCAATTTAAACTGTAGTCAGCCCTCTGTAACCATGGGTGGTGAATCCATGGATATGGAGATCTGACTAAGGGACTTGAACATCCTTGGATTTTGGTATCTGTAGAGGGTCCTGGAACCAATCTCCCCTTGGATACTGAGGGACAACTACTTAGCTCTGAGGGTTGTGTTGAGATTAATATGGTGTTTGGCAAAAACAAGTGCTGGGCAAATGTAAGCTTGCTGTTCCACCTAGGATTCAGTGCTCAGGTGCAAGGAACCATGACAGCTACTTATATAAAAGTGTCTACTAGAGGATATGCCCAGCACTAGGTGCTAGGTCCTGTCTGCAAGGCCATTACCAAGTTTGAGGTGGCCTCATTCAGTGAAATGCTGACTCGCATCATTTCTTCAGTTGAGGGCTCTGTGTACCTGGAACATAACCTATAAAATGCAAATGTGTTGCCCAGATGGGAAACCTATTTAAAAAGGGTTTAGGACCCATTAACCAGCTGGGGCTCGACCAGGCCAGGGCAGTCTGCTGGGAGAGAAAAGTTGTGGGGAGGCAAGTCCATATACCAGAGCTCTGCACTCCCAGAACTGGGTCTGCTGACCAGAGGAAGCAGATCTTATCTCAGAAGGTGACTGACAAAGGGCGGGGCTGAAAACCCTCACTCCTTTCGTTCAAGACGACTGAACTACTACTTTCTGTGCTTCTCTCCGAGATCCCCTCAACACACCGGCCCCTGACTGCCTCTTCCCAGGCTGCCTGGTTAGGTGGCTGCCTTTGAAGACTCTGCGGTTAGAGTGTGAGCTCAGCTCGCTGCCTGGGCTGAGCAAACAGGAAGCGGGGCACATCCTGCTCGCAGGCTGGGGACAGGGAAGGTTCTGCGAGTGGCTCCTTTCCTGGCCGCTATGGGCCACCCAGCCCCAGGTGCCTCTGAGGCTCTGCAGCCGCTGCAGCCATGCTCCTCACCCAGCACCCCTCGGGGCTGAGCGACCGGTCCTGAACTCGATGGCCGACATGGGTTCTCTACACCATTACTGGGCTCCTTCCTATGCCGTACAACCTCAGCACTACACGCTCCGCCCAGGGTGGCCTGCGAGGAGCTTTCAGGCTGAAAAGTGCAGGCCTGCAAGGAAGCAAGCTGGGGTGCATATGTTTTCATGTGTGCACCCGGCTGGCTAACCAATGAAGTATGGTTTCAGCTTCGGGGAGAAGGACTTTGTCTTTCCCGAGTTCACCCTACCTAACCCATGGATGGTCGGAGAACACGGAGCAGGCTAGTGGGTAGGAGAGAGGAAGTCACGAGAACATCTTGGAAACAGGGAAGGGCCAGCTCAGGATTTCACAAGTGCCACAGTGGAGAGCTTTAAAAAGATGTGTACCTTTTACTCCAGGATTCCCCTTCTGGAAATTTATCCTGAGGGGAAAATCGCGAATGTGAATATTTACCTTAAGGATGTGCAGTGAAGAGTAAACAAAAAAAAAATTAAGCAGACCTAAGTTCATCAGTATGGGCCTGATGAAATACTCATGGTACAGCCATACAATCTGGCTGCTCTGCAGCCATTAAAATCACATAATCGAAGAATATTTCATAGCATGAGAAAATCTGAATGATACTATGTTCAGTGTGACAAGCAGATACCGACACAGTGTGTCATTTTTAATATTTAAAATTATTAATATCGACCCATATTAATATAGGTTAATATTGAGGTGACATTAACAAATATCATTGGAATAAATAATAAAAACAAAATACAATACATTAAAACACGTTTATTTACATATAATTGGTCTAAAATAAACAGCACATTATTTTAAAGTGTACAATTTGAGTTTTGACATGTATACACTCATGAAACCATCACCACAACCAAGATAGTGAATATATTCATCATCCCCGAAAGGGTCCTTGAACTCCTCCTGATCTCTCTATCCTTTCCCTACCCCCCAACCACTGATCTGCTTTCTGGCTAATATGGTTTTTTAAAACACACAGACATGTAGTTAATGCACAAAAACAGAAAAAGTTATCCATCCAAACACTATGGAAGATAATTATGGAGAAATTTTGAATTTTCTTTTTTGTGTGTATCTGTCTTTGCTATGTTGTATATGATGAATATGAATTACTTTTTAATAAGAAAAGTCATTGGAGTTATTAAAATATCTGCCACAGACAATTCACAAAGTGAACATTCTAAACTTAGTGCATAGGCATTTGAAAAATGCCTGTTGAACAGGATATTTGCTAGTCATATGGAGTTACCTGTAAATACTTTTCTTGTATGGTGATGGCTATGGTGGTGATAAATATACAGGTAAATATACAGGCCAGGAGGTTTTGACTCTAGGATATGACAGCTCTGGTGGAGATGTCTGTAGGTGAGCTGGTGGCAATGAGGATGATAGATGTAGGACAGGAGTATCAAACTCATTTTCACTGGGGGCCACGTCAGCCTTGAGGTTACCTTCAAAGGGCCGAATGTAATTTCAACTTCTTAACAGTTAAGGACTATTTACATTTATACAGTCCTAAAATGACATTCGGCCCTTTGAAGGCAACTGCAAGGCTGATGTGTCCCCCAGTGAAAATGAGTTTGACACCCCTGCTATAGGGTGATTACTGAGAAGTGATGACTGTAGGGTTGATGACTATAGAAGTGATGATTTTAAGGGTGAGAGTATCAGTGTGGGGATGACTGGTTGTAGTAATAGTGTTTGTAAAGTTAATGGCTATGAGGGTGATGGCTGTGCTGGTCATAATGGCAGTGGTGAGGCAGATAGAGGAAGTTGGCTGAGGGGTGTTGCTCAGGGTAGTTGTACTAACAATGATGGCTATAGCAGTGCTGATGGCAGTTATAGGGATGACAGCAGGGATGATTGCTTTAGGGGTAATGGCTATAGGCACAATGGTTGTAGGGGTAAGAATGTTACAGGAATACTGATTGTAATGTCAGTAATGATGACAGTTGTGAGGATGATGACTGTGAGGGTGAAAGTGACAATGATGATAACTGTAGGGGTGATGGCTGAGGGTGTTGACTGTAGGGATGGTTGTTATAGTGATGATGGTCATAAGTGTGCTTATGGCAGTAGGACAACTAGAGGGTTGATGAATATAGGGGTGATGGCTATAAAATAAGGAGTGATGGTTGTAGGGGTGATAATAGTGGTAGTGATGCCAGTGATGACCTTGGTGATGCAAGGTGACCAAGAGCATTGGCCCCACAAGCAAAGACATGATCCAAATTCTGGTTTTTGGATTCTCGTCAAAGAGATAAGAGGCCCAAGTAAGTCAAATAATGTCAAATTGACTGGCCACCTCTGGAGAGATGGAGCAGAAAGACTCGTGATGATTGACATGAGATGGCAAGGTAGGGACTTTTCTCTGCTTGTTCAACCCAAGAGCCGTCTGCATCAGAATCTCTAGAGACTGAAGCTAGGACTTCCTTCCTCCCTAGGGGCCAGCAGGGGCTGCGATTGCTGTAAGAGCAGGTCACGTGGCAGGGCTTCCTGTATGCTGCTGCCGCCGTGTCCATGGCCCTCACCCCTAAGCTGCCACTGCAGCAGTCACTGTGGCAGCCAGAGTTTTAGTCCATTCTGTGCCCCCTGGACAGTGCTGGCAAGGCCGAGCAAGAGGCTTTCACATCTCGACACCTAGAAGAGTAGGGAAGGAGTGTCCCCGGGCAGAGGACCATGTTGCGCCGCAAGCCCTCCAACGCCAGTGACAAGGAGCCCACTCAGAAGAGAAAGGTGAGGAGCATCTCTGGGAACTCACTTTTTCCTTCCCTCTGCTTGCATAATCCAGCCCTTGAGCTCATAAAAATGATGAGCCAAAGATCATACATTGAGTCTGTAGGCACGGGCTTCTAAAAGCAATAGGACAGGGGCCCAAATGCTACTAGAGTAACAAAAGTACAAAAGAGACTTTCGAAATTCTAGAGAAATTGAGTTACAGGAAAGACTTAGAAGTCTAGAATTATTGAAGTCAACTCTACAGTGATGGAATAGAGACCTAAAATTAAGGGCTAGAATCCTAGACTAGAACTTGAGAACCACAAGATGCAATCCTCAAGCTGAATCAGAAGACCGTACTTAATCGTCTCTCCCTTACACTGGTCCTGCCACCATTTCTGCCTGAGCATGCCCTCTCAATAGCCATCTCACTCAAAGGGTTCAGCTGGGCCACCACACTTGGAGCCATGATCCTCCTAGAACCCCACCCTTTGGCTGTAGCTAGGATTCTGTTCACTTGATTCAGTTCTGTTGTAGCTTTCTTTGCCCACTGGTGATGGGGCCAACCTGAAAATAAGGCAGAGGGCCTCCAAACCTGCAGTGGGGTACAGAGAACATACAAGTTCTTCCAATGTAGGGAAAATTATTTGTGAAGAGTGAAAAATGAAGCTGGTGAGATGGGGAGTAGAAGTGAGGGCTGAGGAAGAAAAATGTGGCGGGGACATTTTAAAGGCCGGGAAGAAAAGCAGCTGTCATGGACAGCTGAGGTATTCATATTCCTGGAGCAAAGGCCAGGCTGGAATATCCCTTGAAGGCTCTGCAAGATCTAAATTCTTCTGGTTGTATTTGAGGATTTCTAAACTTAATTCTGTGATTTGATTATAGAATTCCCCCAGGCAATCAGCAAGTACATCTTTCACATCCAATGGAATCTTAGGACACTCCCAAAGCAGGTCTGAACCAAGTCCAAGAGACACAGGCCTAGCCCCAGACCAATGTCTGGGGTCTCCAGATGCTTGCTGTGCCCATCAGTTTCTCCTGGAGCTCAGCCCAAGTGCCCTATGGGAACCCCCTAGTAAGGGGAGCAACTCCTAGACCAAAGCTGAGCCAACTGAGAGGCTGAGTTTCAAGTTACTGGTGTGAGCCTCCTGCTCCATCTCAGGTTCTGGGGTGGCTGCCACTTCCGGCCATACTCTCCTCACCCCACCTGCTTCTCTAAGCTTGCAGTGGAGGTGGGCAGAGCTGAAGAAGAGATTTATTAGTTTTGCACAGGCTCTGTTACCTGCCTGTCAAAACCCTGCACAGCCACAGACTTGCCATTGGCTGTCTGTCCTTGGCAAGCAGTCTGCTTCCCCTTGCTCTCCGCCTAATGTGGATGGGAAGCTGAGACTGTTCTAAACACTGATGGGCCCCAAACCACAGGGGAGTTAAACTAGAGGAAAGAGCCTGAGAAAGAGCTGACACGTTTACACTAGGGCCCTGCGCCACCTCAGGCAGAGGTGTCAGAAGCACACAGAAGCCAGTGGTCCCCATCTTCTTTCTTCCCTTCCATTATACCATTTCTGTGCTTGGCCTCTGGGCCTCTGGAATTTTCCCCAGATCTCTTCCAGGAGAAGCAACTCTCATGTGCTCCTCTAGAGGAAGGTGGTCCAGGCAAAGCCATTCTTCCCCATCATAGCCTGGACCAGCCTCCAGAGCTACTCTCCAAGCCCCAAACCTTGAGAGTACCCTTAGAAAAGCCAAAGTATGCTTCCAGAAGGCAGAGACAGTATCTTCCCTGGGCCTGGAGGTAGCAGCCAGGTCCAGCACTGTAACCTTCAGCCAGTCCCTTCCCCATGGAGGGTAAAGTGACACAGAAAAGGGGAAAGCACAAAGCCAAACAAGGCCTCTCTCTCCTGCCCCTGCTCCTCTTCCCAGGCTTGCCAAATGGAGAAAGCACTTTGCAGGGGGCAGGAAAGCAGAGTTGGAATCCTACCAAGTTCTAGCTGTAGGACCTTGGACAGTTCATTAACTTTCTTTGGGCCTCAGTTTCCTCATCTCTGAAAAGTAAAGATAGCTCCTGATCTGTCCACCTCAGGAGATTACATGGATCACCTGGGACAATAAATGTGAGAATGCTCTTTCAAATGTGTACATATGCATACAAGGGGATGTGTGCCTTAGACATGGATGGGAGTGGGGAGTACATGGCAAAGAAGAAAAAGTTTGGGTCCCAGTCCTGAAGTGGAGAAAACAAGATGTAACAGCATTAATAGCCAGCACTGAGAGCTCATCAGGTACCAAACACTACTGTGTGCTTCACCCATCTCTTAGCTCCTTGGCTCCTCATTACAACGTGGTGAGTGGGGGGAAGATATTGACTTTATCTTCATTTTAGCTCAAGACTTGGAGACTTACCCAAGGTCTCCCAACTAGCAAACTGCAGAACAGAAATTCAAGCCAAGATTTGCCAATCTCCAGAATGTTAACGCCTTCTCCCTCTACTCTCTTGTCCCCTACTAATCCCAAAAGCACTAGATGAATCTGATAAGAATGAAAGACGTCAACTCATCATTAAGAGAGTGCTGCAAGGCTGTCAATTGAGGGACCTTCCAGGCAGCAGAGCAGAGGTGGGAGCAGGTTCTCTAGGATGGTAGGGTCTGCAAATGGCACCTATTGGTCATCATGAAGGATTGGGGTAGCACCTGAGTTGGGGGTAGGGACATACCCCTTCACAGATTTTTGTTTATCAAGGTCTTTCTCTGTACTCCCTTTGATCTGTTAGGGCATAGGAGGTTGTCCTGGGATGGCACCCCTACTTTCCCCCGTACTCCAAATTGCCTACAAAGCAAAATGGAGAGGAATCTAGGCTCCCATTCTAGTGTCCAAGTGTTCCCTCCTTCCAGTCTCTCACTGCCCTTCTCTCTCCCATTCCCAACACACTCCATCTCCCTGGCTTGCTCCCTACAGAATATCCCTAGCAGGACACCTCTACCAGCACGCATTTTGTGTTTCCAGTGGCTCCTCATTGCCCACAAGCTAATGTCCAAATTTCTTAGTATGGTTGGCAAGAGTTTTCCATAGACTTTTTGCTCTCCCACCACATGCCCTGGCATACCTCCCATTCCATCACCACACTAGAACATTCCTAACTCTCACTGTCATTTACTATTCCCTCCCCCTCAAAGAAATTAATAAAAATAAACTATTCCCAGCAACTAATGGCAAAATCCTCATTACTCTGCACGGCACAGCTGAAATGACACACCTCCTCCATGAAGCCCTCCTGAGCCTTTCCTCCTCCATACTCCCACCTGCTCTCCTTGTAGCTCCCTCTAAACACTACCTGAAGTTGCATTGCACTCAATTAGTTTCTATAGTGATGGGAGTGGTAACTTTGTGAGCTCTGAGTGCGGCAACATGAACAGGCTTCTAGTCATGGACATGGGTTCGAACCCTTGCATTTTTTACTGCCAGCTGCATATCTCTGCCTAAGACACTTCATTTCTCTGAGTCTCAACCTCTTGATCTGGAAGTGGTATGTAATATGGAGCTGTGGTGAGGTTGGAGTGAGCTGGCAGACATGAAGCACCTGACAGGATGCCAGGCACAAAGGAGATATTTAACATGGCAACCAGAGGGTGCTAAGTATATGACTGGTATAAGAATAAGCTAAGAGTGTAGTTGTGGAGACACCTGGGGAAAGCCAATTTTGCTTAGGAACCAAGGGAAGAAGATACCAATGGGGGTACTGTGAGGTTTTGAGAGGGTAATCATAGGAGGCTTCCTGCAGGGAACAGTGCCTTTAAAACTGGGTTTATAAAACCTATTTATTAAAGTATAATATTTGTACAAAGAAGTGCACAAATCATAAGTGTACCACTCTGTGAATTTCTATAATGAACATCCCCATGTAAGCAGCACCCAAATCAAGAAACAGAGCACTCCCAACACTCTAGAAGCTTCCTTCATGCCCCTACCAGTCACAACACACCCTCTTTCCCCAAGGGTAATTACTATCCTGACTTCTAACAGCATAGATTAATTTTGCCAGGTTTTGAACTTTCTATATGAGGAAACATATGGTATATTCTGGTGGATGGCCCCTTCTGCTCAAAAATGTATCTGAGAGATTCATCCATATGTTCGAGAGAGCTGTACTAAGCTCATCACTATGTCCCAGCCCCTTGCATAACTGTGCCACTATTCATGTAACCATTCTACAGTTGGTGAGCATGTAGGTTGTTTCCAGTTAAATTGGATTTTGTAGGAGAGAAGAAACTGTGGTTGACAGGGTGAAGAGTGGAGTGTTCCAGGTAGGGAATTCCCTGAATAAAAGCCTGGAGGTGGTTCATAGAAAAAGCTAAGCTATACACAGACATTTGGACATTTGCTGTGTGGCAGTTATGTCAAGCACTCACTCCTTTTATCCTCAGAGCAAGCCGGTAAGGTAGGTGCTGTCTTCATTTTACCTATGAGGAAACAGAAGCCTAGAAAAGTTAAGGAACTCACCCAGCTTTATACAGCTGGTCAATGAGAGAACCAAGATGTGAACCTTTGCAGGCTGACACCAAGTGAAGAGACTGAGGTCCAGGGAGATTAAATACCTCACTGAAAATCACACATCTCAAAGTTGAACTCAGCAACATCTGACACCAGAAAAGTAATTCTTTCCAGGAGATCCACATATTCCTCTTAAACATAAAAAATGATATTTGGTACTACCACCACCCTGGGCAGGCCCCTGAAGAAGGCCTAACCTCAAATGAAAGCCAGGCAGGAAATTCAGAGGTTCAAGAATTTCAACTCATACCTGGCTGGGATGTCACTTCAGAGATACTAGAAGGCATTCAGGATATTGGGGCTGCCTCTGAGGTTGGAGGTAGACTGGGGAAAAAGCCACTCTGGCCAGCCCCTACCCTTACTCGTTTGAAGAACTGTATAGCCCTTCCCACGTTCTTGGGCTTAGCTCTTTCCATGTCCTTGGGATTAAGATTCGCCAGCTGGGCCCAAATCCCAGCACTACCCCCACAGTCCTTTTCAATAGTTTTCTTCACTTTGAGCTAAAGCTGGGACAGGGGAGCCCTGAAACAAGGTCCCAGGAGCCAGAGGCCCCCCTCCCACTCCCCAGACTGTAGATTAATGACAGGAAAAGGAAAGAACTGCGATTAGAAGGAGGCCAGGCAATGAGTTTACCCTGTTCCAACAAAGCTCACTTCCGGCCCCATGTGGGCCCTCCTGCTTGCTTTCCAAACTTGCCAGTCCCTGGGGCTTCTGGGGCGACTCTCAGCCTCCTAGTCTGCAAACCAGGCAAAGAAGTGATGGAGAGAAGGTCACGATAGACCCCACTGGCCTATAAATAGAAGTGCAGCCTGTTGCCCACCCTCTCTCTGTTCCTTCTTTTCCAGGCAGTAAGAGGAGGAAGTTATCGAGGCAGCTGCATCCTAGCCATACAAGAGGAGGAAATCAACAGAAAGCAGAGGAGAGAAAGGGAAAGAAAGGGAGAAAAAGAAAAGAATAGCGGGTAGGAAAAGCCAACAGACAGTGGAAGGGATACGGGGGAATCAGAGCCGCCACCCCATGGTCATGTGTTCCCTTCTCCTATCATGGTCCCCTTCTCTGGCTCCCCAACATAGCATGGAAGAGGCTTCCTGGTAGAGTCTGCAGGTGCCCCACCCAGCAGTCACTTAATCTAACTGCTGACCTAGTTTCTGGTCAGCTAGCTTGGTGCAACTTCTAGGAAGGTGTGGCCCTTGACCTTGATTACTGAGTTGCCTTTGGTCAAGATCTACCAAGAAAATGGAGGTGCTCCACTGAAGTTCCCAGGAGTTGGGGCCAATTGTGTGTGTGTGTGTTGGGGGGCAGGTGATATTGTCCCTGCCCTGAAAGGTTGTCACTGGACTCCCCCCACAACTCCTTCATAGGAAAGAGGATGTGAAACTTTCAGCTCTGTGTGGGTTTGGAGCTTTGGTTCCTCAAGCCCTTATCTCCAGTGTGTGCAGTCTATCCCGCTGTATCTGTCTGGCCATCTGTGAACCCTGGTTCCTGTGTGTATCTCTGGTCTTGACTGTTGATCTTGATTCAAGCTCAGCCTTTACTCCTTGTGTTTAAAGCCTGGCCTCATTACTTGCTTAGCCTGGTTTCTGCGGCTGTCTTGGCATGCACACACAAATACAGTTAAGAAAGCTCATTTCCTGAAAATAGTCTCATCAGCACAAACAATAGGTCAGGCCAAAAAGTCCAAAGACCGACACATGTCAACAGTAGCCATCTCATCACATTAGTGGCTAAGGTTAAAAGCTGAGGTGTTGGAAGAAAATGGAAGCTTTCTTTTCCTAAATTATGGCTAATCATTTGTATCTCAAATCTGTGGGCACCTTCTCTGACTGCTTGTACTGTGGGTTTCCAGAAAGCTTAATGCCAGGTCTGACTAACTGTTACGGGGAGTGTTTTGAACTTCTCGAGATAAAAATCGATCAGGTTGGGGACACTAATGTGTTTACTGCCATCACTGTGACAGGAGACCATGCTTGGAGCAGGCCCAGAACACAGAGCCTGGGCTGTGGGGTTTGGGAGGGTTTTCTCTGTTACATAAAGGTGATGCTATTGTTCATGCCAAAGTATGTCTCTAGTAGGAAATATGTCCTTACTTGGATTCATTTAGTTTTTCTTTCACTTCAAGGTTCTTGGGGCCAAACCTCAGGTACTGGTGGAAAGGTGGGCTTAGTCTGAGGCTTAACTGAGCTCTGGGTCTTTGAGGTCAGGAGCTTGCTCTGAAGCCAGCATTAAGGGCCATTCTCTACTGATAAACAGGATGAAGCCAGTTAACTCCAAGGACATCTTGGTATTTCACCTCAATAGTCCTGGCACCTTAGGGTACATGTGGCTCTGTCCAGCCCTGGGGTGTGGGCACGTGTGTTGGGAATGGGAAACGCTCCTTACTTAACCAGCCACTTTAGCACCATTGATTGCAACACGTCTGCTTCTTCCAGCTGTCACTTCAGCGCTCCAGCAGTTTCAAGGATTTTGCCAAATCCAAACCCAGCTCCCCAGTAGTGAGCGAGAAGGAATTTAATCTGGATGATAATGTGAGTTTTAGAGCCTCCTTAAGGGTTGGGGGGGGGGGCTTCTGGCTGCAGGGCCTTGGTGTGGGATTAACTGGGAGGGAGAGAGAAGGGGAAAGAAGAAATTTTAGGATTGTTGAGGCTAAGTCTCCTTAAATACAGAAAGTTTACCTATCCCACCCACCAAAATGCTGGGCCCCAAGAACTCACCTGCATTGTTTTCAGTTACAAATTAATTACAAACTAATAAGGCTGAGGACAGGACTGCAGCTAAGAAGGAAGGGGATGGGATTTTTCCATTTCCACCCCTCCATCCTTTGCTGGAGCCCAAAGGACTCCTTCTAGTCCTAAGTTCTGGACTCAGGCAGAGTCACCAGGGTCCCTGGACCTCATCGTTTGTTGTTGCAGATTCCAGAAGATGACTCAAGTGTCCCTACCCAAGAGGATGCTGGGAAAAGTAGCAAAAAGCTGGGAAAGAAGTGGAAGGCCGTGATTTCCCGAACCATGAACAGGAAGATGGGCAAGATGATGGTTAAGGCTCTGTCAGAGGAGATGGTGAGGCCTGGGATCCAGGGGAGTGGTGGGGACAGGAAGGATAGGTACCACTCTGATAAGGTGTGAGCATGGCTGCCTTGAGAGCCACTGTTTAGATATCATGCCTGGAGGCTCAATTAAATATGTGAAGGAAGGTCACATGGGAGGGGAGCTCACTCAGCCATGGACATGGTAGCAAGACATTGTGGTCCAGATGGATTAGGGGTGAGGTTCTAAAGAGGGATAAAAGTTGAAGTAACAGTAGGTTTATGAGAAGACAAGCCTGAGGAGAGTGGGCAGATGCAAAGGAGATGATATCACTTGAGGCAAATTCATCCACCTCTGAGTTTTGTTGGGAACTAGCCCCTCAGATTGGAAAGGTTTGATTTAAAGAGGAGCCCCTCTGAGAAAAAGTTAGAGAAGGTTGGTTTTGGCCCAAGGAGAGAGTGCATGACAGAGGGTTGTAGGGCAGACACAGCTAAGCAGCTGAAGTCACACATTGAGTCTAGTGTGCTTGCAGTTCTTATAGGAGGCTCCAAGGCAGTAGTATGCTGCAGTCAGCTAGAGCTGGCTCCTGCCAGCTCAGGAGAGCAGTTGGCCAAATTTTTAGGAATTTTGTGAGTTGGGTATGACACATAGTATTGAAAATTATATTATATCAACTTAGAATTAAATAAATCATATTAAAAATAAAGGGAATACAGTCAATCCTCAAACTTCATCACTTCCTAATTCTTGGGCTGATTTTCATTATTCTCTATGCCCCGGAGGTTATTTGCATCTATAGTCTCTATGTGGAAGAAATAGCCTGTGATGATGTGCTGCTCAATAATCAATGTCATACTTGTAGCATGACATTGGCCATGGTGGGGGGTATTTACAGCTCAGAAATTGGTAACCTCTACTCATGAGGGCTTTTACTTCTAGAGAGCCAGTTATGGAAGAGTTACCTCTGCACTGAGGTATAGTGAAGCAGGGGTACTCTGGAGTCAGGTGAATTTGAATGAAGCCTTGTGCGTGGCCTTAGGAATGTTCTTCCATTACTTCTCATCTAAAAACTTGGGACAATCAAACACTTATCCTCAAATGAAGACTGAATGAAATGACAGATGTGCTTGGCACATGGGAGCATAGTCAAAAGCAATAACTCTTCAGCACCACTGTTTGCTTGACTGTCCCAGCAACAGCTCAGATCCAAGCTCTGGTATCTGTATTTACCAACTTTCTCTGTATGTACATCGGCTCTTTAAGCTGACAAAACACATTCATGTGTCACCCCAGTTACGCCTCATTCTGTGAGGTGGGCAAAGCAAGGACTTGTCATTTCCACCTTGCAAAAGAGGAAACTAGGGCTCTAAAAGTGCCATGCCATCTGTAAGCAGCAGAGCTGGGGTTCCATCCAAGGGCCAGTTCTCTGTCAAGCCCAGGCCTATTTCCCCTGCACCTGGGCTGCACCCATGTACACCCCAACCGAGGCTGCTCTGGGATTCCAGTCTCCCTGTTTCCCCTCCCCGTCAGGGAGACACTCTGGAGGAGGGCTCAGCCTCCCCAACATCTCCAGACTGCAGCCTGGACAGCCCTGGCCCTGAAAAGATGGCACTGCTCTTTTCTGAGCAAGAGGAAGGTGAGCTCCCAGCACTCAGCCGCCAAGCATCCACAGGTGAGTAGGGTAAATAGGGGCATACCTACTGAGTCTGGAGAAAAGGACTGGGTTAGGGTCATGAAGGTGATTGTCTGGGAGTGGCTAAGAAAAACGAATGTTTATGATTTGCTGCTGGGAACTTTCCCAAACCTCTTCATGTTACATCCTCACAACAATTTCAAGGGGCTGGTACCTGATTGATGTGAAAACTGAGGCTCAGGGAAGTTAAATAACTTGGCTAAGGTGACTCAATCTTGAACTCAGTTATGCAATAAAGGAGCTTCATCTAGCTCTTCCCAGGCCCTGAAGGGCTCAAGGGCAGAGGAAGGGCCCCCTTGCCTTCTTGGACCAGCCCAGCCCCAGCCTTTCAAGGACAGCTAGAGGCTATAGCTGTCTAGACCTGTGACATCTGGGCTAGGGTAGGGGTATAGAGTTTCCAGCTGTGAAGACTAAGCCTCTTGGACACCAGACTTTAGATTGCTGGTCTTAGGGAACCTCTTCACATCTTTTGAACATACATGGGGTTAGGCAGGAGGTCCTGGCACCCCTGCCTAAATGGGGAGCTGCGAACCTTTGGAGACACTGCCTTTCCCACCCCTCAGGCTAGTTCCAAGTTCCCTGACCTTTCTCTGGTTTCCCAGAACTATCTGACGCCCCCTCCCTACCTCCACTGAAAACCATTTAAAATAAACTTTATTTTACCCTTTCCTGAGAAAAAGAGCCCATCTGAATTTCCAGGCAACTAGACACCAAGTCTTATTAAGTAAAAAAGAAAAAGTAAAATATTAATGCAGGGTGTGGCTTCCTGGGTGGAAGGAGCACTAGAGTTGGAATCAGAAGACTTGGAGTGTAACAGACCCAGTGCTGCCAATTGTAAGATGAGAGGCCTCGGGCAGGTCACTTGGCCTGTCTGGCCTCAGTATTCTTCGTCTGCCCATTGGAGCGTTGGCCCAGTTGTTCTCTAGAGGCCCTTCCAATTTGTCTGTTCTGTCAGACTGGCCAATACCCAGTTTTCTTCCCTAGCATGCAGCCCTGGGACATCTAGACAGGCCCCCTAAAAGACAGCTGCTGGGTGGGTACAGCACCAATTGTCCTGAGACAAAGGTGACTCTCTTCCTTGCCCCATATCCTGCAGGCAGTGAGCTCTGCAGCCCCAGCCCAGGCTCTGGCAGCTTTGGGGAAGAACCACCTGCCCCCCAGTACACAGGACCCTTCTGTGGCAGAGCCCGAGTCCATACCGACTTTACTCCCAGCCCTTATGACCACGACTCACTGAAACTACAGGTAAGATTGGCATCCAGGCTCCACTTGAAACTAGCAGGCTGTATACATAAAGGGGGATGGACTGAGTCAGGGTAGGACAGTGTCAGCAGAAGACAAGGGACCACCCTTCATCTCCTAATCCACTCTGCTCTCCTCTCCTTCCACAGAAAGGTGATGTGATCCAGATAATTGAAAAGCCGCCTGTGGGCACATGGTTGGGCCTGCTCAATGGCAGGCTGGGCTCTTTCAAGTTCATCTACGTGGATGTGCTGCCTGAGGAGGCTGTGGGGCCTGCCCGCCCCAGCCGCCGACAGAGCAAGGGCAAGAGGCCCAAGCCCAAGACTCTACATGAGCTGCTGGAGCGCATTGGTCTGGAGGTTTGATCTTAGGCCTGCATTAGCATCTAGGATCAAGGGAGGCACCCTTGCCCCACGGATTGTGGCCAGGTCTTGCCAGCTATGTTGGGAGGCCAAGATTGGGTAGGAGGTTGTGGCTTGTAAATGGCCTAACTGGTGACCTGCTTCTGCCCATAGGAGCACACATCCACCCTGCTGCTCAATGGCTACCAAACACTGGAAGACTTCAAGGAGCTGCGGGAAACACATCTCAATGAGCTAAACATCACAGACCCACAGCACCGGGCTAAGCTGCTCACTGCTGCAGAGCTGCTGCTGGATTATGACAGTGAGTGGGTTTAGGAGCTGGGTGGGGGTGACTGCTGGTGGTCCACAGAAGGGAGGTTTCTGCCCCAGGGCCCTGTGCAGTGAGAAGGCACTTTCCACACCTTAATTCCAGTCCCAAGCAAAGTTTGTGGGAAGTAGGGCCTTTAAGGATGATTGGGTCCCACTCCCTTTGGGATCCAAGGGTAGATTTAAGGCCAGAGAAGGTAAAACATTCCTTGAGGCCTAAAAGCTGGGCAATGACAGAGCCAGGATTCAGGTGCAGATTTCCTGGCTCCTAGCTTAGTGTTGAAGAAGTTTGAGATCCTGGGCCTGGAGAAACCATGAGAAGGGCAGGAGTGGTAGCGGGTACCCTGAGGGAGTGACTGCTTATCCTGTCCTGTACCCCCAGGGTCCCTATTCCCACAGAGAGCTCCCTGGGGCTTCTGAACCCCTTCCTTCTAAGGCCCCAAACCCCATATTCCATCTTCCACTCTTGCCCCTGGCAGCTGGCAGCGAGGAGGCAGAAGAAGGCACCGATAGCAGCCAGGAACCAGTGGTGCACACCGTGTCAGATCCCAAGTGGGACATTCCACGCGACTCAGGCTGCTTCGAGGGCTCAGAGAGTGGGCGTGATGAGGCGGAGCTGGCGGGTGCTGAGGAGCAGCTGCAGAGCCTCTCCCTGGCTGGGGCACCATGAGCAGAGGTGGTGGTGGGCCAAGGCTGGGCCCAAGCAGCACAGGCAGCGGGGAGGGGCCCCGGCTTCCTGAGGTGGCCTGGGCTGGACGACTGGCAGAGGACTGGTGCCTAGCCTGGCTCTGCTCCCCTTCACTCCCCACATGGCACATAGGGCCACAGCAGCTGGCCAGAGCCCTGCAGGCTTGGCTGAAGTGGATAAGGAGCCGCTGAAGGCATATCACACCTGCCAAGCCCCCTTTCTCCACCAGCTACTGACAGTAGAGACCGCTCTGGCCATGGCTACAGCAAGTGGGGCACTGAGAGGTCACCACACTCATTTCCCTCACCACCAAGGCCTCTAAATCCTCCTCATCCCCACCGTACCTTCCCCTGTAGCACTGCTCCTGAAAAGGAGGCAAAGTGTTTCAGATCAGTGTCAGGACTGTGAGGAAGCTGGCCATTTAAAAATATTCTAATTGATCACGGATAAATCCAGATTGTCCTCAATAAGGTTTGAAGAAAGCCATATGCACCTTTCCTACTTTCCTTCTCCTTAACTTTCTGGGAGATTTGGCCACTAAATCACTAGGTGAGGTTAATCAAGTGCCTTCACCAATCTGGGTTTAGACCTGGCCTAGATTAGAATGGATAGGTGCTGAGGGCCTTGCCAACTCTGACATTCTGTGACATTAAGTGTCTGCTCTCCTGTTACCTGTGGCCCAGGATACCAGTAGGGTTTACTGAGGGGGCTTGAGGGGCATTGGGCTCCCAAATTAAATGCTTCCACCTGCTCATCAATTCTATATCTTTGTACATAACTCAGGCCAAGCTGTGACTTCCTCCAGCTTAAGACAATGCCCATACCTCATATAATGTGCACCCTCTCTTTCTACCCCTGACCCCCTCAAATGACACTTCCCTCAAGGCTGATGGCAGATGGTCAGACCTGGCTTCCAAGAATAAAATGGTTCCTCAGAAACCAGGTGCAGATTTGGGCCCAGACTTGGCCTCTTGTATGGGTCTTTACAAACAAGGAAAGTACAAACTAGACATTAGGGAATCCATTACCCCAACTCTGCTTTGCTAAAGGTTTTGGTGTACCCTGAGCTACAGAAGAGGAAGGATAGCATCTGTTTTTTTAAACAAACATTTTTTAATTAGCTGATCTTTCCTTTTTTTGAACAGTTTATTTTTAGAGAGAGGGGAAGGGAAGGAGAGGGAGAGAAATATCAATGTGTGGTTGCCTCTCATGTGTCCCCCACTGAGAACCTGGCCTGCAACCTAGGCATGTGCCTTGACTGGGAATCGAACCACAACCCTTTGGTTCACAGGCCTGTGCTCAATCCACTGAGTTATGCCAGCCAGGGCAGATAGCATCTATTGATGGGGGCCTCCCTTGATGCCAGCACCAAATCTGTGCCCTCAATTCCAGAGTAACATTTCCCCAGGACCCAACTGGCTCAGGAACAAACAGTACCTACTACATCTAGGACTACTGGCTTAATGGACATGCTTCTGGATCTACTACCAGGAACTTTGGTAAAGCTAACTTCAGGGGAAGGGCTTAGTGTAAATATGATGGGGGTGGAATGAGACAGATTGGCAGCAATAAACATAAATAAGATTAAATTACTGTTTACAGTTATATTTCTTATGGAAAGAGGATTGGGGGGCAGACTAGTTTCTTTCAAAGCTGGACTCAGCAAAATGTCCTCCATTGTCCTTTCAAAACCATCTGTCCCTCCCCTAAAGATGCTCAGTGCCTTTGACCCTGCTGACCTAAAGCTTCAGTTTGAAGCCCTCGCTAGCTCTGCCTTTCCCACTAACCAGCCACAATTGGAGCTCAAGCTCTTAGGTCCACAGGCCTTGCTGGAGTCTAACAGTTGGGAGTAGCTATTTCTCTTTTCCAAGAGCCTTGAAGACCTCTATCCCAGTGAGGAAGGGCCTGAACTGGGGATTGTCCAGTTTCCAAGAAGGGGAACTTTACATTTAGCTGGACCTTTCCTCTGAAACCACCTCTTCTTGGGCCCTACCCTGTGCTCACTTGAAGCCACACCATCTCCTGGAATGTAGGATAGAGACTAGACTCCCTGGCATCCTTTGTTTCTGCCAGCATTAACTGCATGATGGAGAGCAAACTGGAGTGAAAGCTTCCATTAGGGTGAAAACAAAGCCACTCTGCTTCTAGGCTTTGTTCTCTGTTGCACTCATTCCACTGCCATTAGTGGCTGTGAACCTTAGGAAATTGTAAGCATTATCCTTATCAAAGAAACAACGAGAGACCCAAAAGAACTCAAAGCCCCAACAGTACGGAATAATGGCTGTGATTGAGTGAGTACTGACACATTTTCCAGGCACCAATCACTTTTCATTTCTTCTCTCATATAATCATCATGCTATCCCCAAGGTAGGTACAATACCATCACCTCAGTTACACAGGAGAAAACTGAGCATGGGGAAGGATGAAGAAGTTGAGTAGAAAGTTGAGTAGGAGTCTCCTTAGTCTTCTGGAGGTTAATCTGGCCCTTTGACACCCTTTGACCCAGCCATTCCCCTCCAAGGATATGATCCACAGAAAGAGCTACACAAGTACACACAGATATATGGAGAAAGACATTTGTGACAGCTTTGTCTATAAGACACTGAAAATAACATGAATGGGGAATTAGTTAGATCCATTATGGTCTGCTCACACAATGCCATAGAGTCATTAAACATGATGTTGTAGAAAAATATTTAATGACACACAGAAAATCATCATTTTTATTGTTTGATTTTAAATTTAAAATTATACATAAAATGTACAAACATTCTTATTGTAAAAGAAATCCATGCTATATCATGGGGAAGAAGTAAGTGCTGAAATATTATTTATAGAGTGATTCCATTTTTATTTAAGAAAAGGAAAACATACATAAGAATAAAGACCAAAAAGATCTGCACTAAATGGTAACCAGTGATGATCTTGTGAGGAGAGTGGGGTGGAACTGAAGGAGACATGGAGAGAAGTGTTTACTTCCTACATTCTTGTTTTATTTCTATTTCAAAAGTACCTGTTATTTTAATGTCTATTTTAAACAGAAAAATATTTTAATTAAAAAAAAACAACCTTAAATGAGTATGCCCAAGCCTCCGGCCTCCAATTTGGGGTAGTAACAAAGTCATTATCTTGCTGCCTTTTGGCACAAGTTTCTGGAAAAATGGAGAATAGGGAGTGAATAATGCCCAAAGTGTTTAAATCCCCCCACACCCACACCAAGGGACCTCATCAGAGGAGATGCCCAAACTTTTCAAAACCCTGAGTAGGTCTAACTTGGGGAAACAAAAATATCAGAAAAAGTCAGACTGAGAAGAGTATGTTTTGAACTCCTCCACTGGTCTGGGGAGGGGCTCTGAGTGGCAAATTCAGAGTTATCAGGCCCCAGTTTGGTCTGTATGCTGAATATGGGCTCAAAGTAGGGAGTTCTGCTAGGACTGTAATGATTGCAGGACTCTGGGTGGGGCAGGTGAAGAGGGGCATCAACTGCAGGCCTGGGCCCTAAGGGTCATAAAGGCAGTGCCAGGTAGGGCTATAGCCCAGGCCTCACTGCTTTTCCTCCAAGCAGGGCTGACAGAACTTCCTTACCAATCCCATGGACATCTAGAAGATGTCAAGTGACTCCCTGAGCTTAGCAAACCAAGATCTGACGTCCAAGATGCAAAGCTGCCACATACCCACTCACAGCCAGGGATGTCAGAGGCCCAGGCAGCTCTAGCCTCTCTAGCTCCCCTTGGAATAATGGGGGCGGACTGGTTCAAGAGGATGATGGGATTTTTCTTCTGCCCTTGAGTCCTCCTCCATGGCCTGGAGACAGCAAGTGGAGCTTCTCTAGGGCAGCTGAGGCCTAGTAGTTAGAAGTTAGGGCCCACCTGTGTTCAGTCTTGGCTTTATCACTCACTTAGCTGGGTCATTGTGGGTAAGTCTCTTTACCTCATTTTTCACATTGATAAAGTGGGGATAACATAATTAGCCCCTAGAGGTTGTTACGAGGATTGAATAAATTAGAGTATGTAAAATACCCAGAAAATCAATGTTCAGTGAGTGATAATGTGTTAGGTCCCCTAAATCCTCAATGCCCTACTATCTGCATTTCACTCCCTTCAAGGCCGGTTTCGCCTTGGACCCCAGGTTAGTGTAGTGATCAAGAGCAAAGGCTTTGAAGTTAAATTGTATTCAAATCCTGGTTTCACCACTTACTAGTTACCTGACTTCAGGTAATTACACACGTATATATTTCTTTTCTTTAAAATAAGAATAATGATCTATATTGCAATGTATAAATGTATTAAGTCAACATATTGCACACCTTAAACTTACACCATGTTATATTTCAATTATATTTCAATTAAAATAATTTTTAAATATCAACTTAATTTTTAAAAGAATAATGGTCTAATAATAGGTACTTCCTCAGGTTGTTAGAGAAATCAATGAGATAGTGTTTAAGTTCCTTGCACACAGTGACAATAAATGGTGCTTTTGACCTTTTGTAACCTCCATGGTACTGAGCTCAAGACTGGGCATAAAGGCCCTGTTGATATATACCTGTCTACATACTAACTTCTATAGCCTGGAGACAAATTGATATCCAAGGTGCCAGACAGCACTGGGATTCAGACAGCATTGAGCACTGGTACTCAGAGAGACTGGTGATGGAGAAAAAGCCCACCTAAGGGCCTGGGGTGGCCTGGCTCTCCCTAGTTCAGAGCACAGTGATCAACCCTGGACATTAGACTTGTTCTAGGAAACTTCCTTGGACAGCCATGGGCTGCTAGAAGGAAAATAAAAGCCCAATTTAAGAAAAAAGATTTAGAGTCTAGCCAGCTCCTTCCCGATTCAAGGTTAGATATGACTTCTTCCTCCTGGGCAAGAAGGAGAAACAGCTGGGGGCATGAACACATCCCACCTTGTACTATCACCCCTCTCACTTGCTGCCTCTATTTCTCACAATCTTGCCTTAGACTTCTCCAGATGGTTTCTGATCAGCTCCCTAAAAATCCCACAGTGAGGGCTCTCGCCTCCACAAATTCTCCAAAATCCTATAACAGCATGGCCTAACACAGGTCCCAGCCACTGCTTCCAGTTCTCAGTCATTGAGATCAATGCCCAGGTTTTCCACATAAGTGACAGACTGCAGTGGGGCCATTAAACACCAAGGGCATTAAAACGAAAAGCTAAAGGGTTTTAAAGGGAAAAATGGGAACTGATCACTATAGTTTCAGTGACATTCAATACATTCCCCTCTGCCAAGTCAGGAAATTCAAGATGAGGTATAAGGTTTCCCAGATGGGGAAAAGAAGTGGCTCTCCCACCTCCTTCACAATAGAGGCCACCTTAGCTTCTCACACAACTTCAGCCTCATTCTATATTATTCAGCCAACAACACAATCAACTGGGAAGGAACTGCCTCCCCTCTAGACCCAGCCAAGACTCCTCCTCTAGGAAGGCCTTAAATAAACAGAATTCTATAGCACTTCATATGTAGGCTTCACCTTTTCCTATAACTTCACAGTTACCGATATAGCATTTGTATACCATTGCCTCTGGGACCTGCCAGGGATAGCGTCAGAACAAGCCCAGGGCAATGGCCCTCACAAAGGGACAGCTAACTTGACTGTGGGAACCCGACAAGGCAACTTCCTGACTTCCTGTGCTAAAGAAACCCCACCATCAGTTCAACTTAAGTGCAGGAGTCTGGAAAGAGAGTTAAGAGATTTAAGTTTTAACCAAAACCCAAAATCCACTCCCATATCAACTTGACTATTTATAGTAAGCCCTCCATATGCCAAAAAACGAAGAGATCATTAGTCAAATTAATCCAAAATGGCAAAAAATATGTATAAAATCATTCTGGTTCTCAATGCACTTAGAAGAGAGTGGCTGATTTCATTCAAGTGACATTTAGAGTTATTCAAACCCCTTTATCTGTCTATACCTGGGTTATGCTGGAAAGGTCTCTGGACAGGGAGTCAAGTCATCTGGATTCTGGTCTTGGTTCTACCAGTAACTGTCTATGTAATGTATGGTAAATCACAGTACTTAATTCGATAGGAGAGAAAGAGTGAATGCAAGTGGCATGCATTAGATGATCAGTATGCCCCTTTCAGTGATATCCAACAGATCCAGGTTTTATGACAAATAATCATCTTGTCTCTAATTTGAACAAAAATCTACAATGCTTTTAACCATGTTAGAACAGCCAGGTAGACTTGAGACACATGATCATAAACTAAAGGGGGGGTAACGGTGGGGATGGGGGGGTAGGGTGGAGGGGAATGAAGGGGGGAATAGAACAACTGTAACAGCATAATCAATAAAAAAATTAAAAAATAAAAAAAATAAAATGAAAAGAGAGAGAAAAAAAAAAAAAAGAACAGCCAGGTAGCTGAAAATGGATATGGGCAGCAGGCTTCAAGAAAATGAAGGGGCGTGGAATGCTAGGGAGGTAATTCTACTCCAGGTTCCAGAGTTGTAAAATCAATTCTAAATCATGGCCCCCTCATTTCTTCCCTGGCACGTGGTAGAGTGTGAGCTATCAAGCCCTCATTTATTAACCAAGTAGAAAACCCTTTAATACCAGAAGGAAAATAAACACAGGATTTGGACAGCCAAGTCACAGAACACAAATGTCAAGAAACCTAAGGCAGAGGGGAGGTGCAGAAAACATTTAAACTCATTATAAATGGAAGGGATAGAAATTAAGTGATACTGAGATACCAGTTTACAACTATCACATTACAGAATGTTTAAATGAGGTGTGTTTAAATGTTTAAGTGTTTCAATGAGACATGAAGCAAGCTCTATGAGACACTACTTGGCAGTACAAAGTGGGACAGTCTTCCTGTGAAGGAATTTGGCCATAGTTGTCAAAAGCCTTCCAAAGAACATCCCATTTGATTCAGTAACTCCACTTTTAGGAATCTATCCTAAGGAAATAATCACAGGCCCATAGATATAAAAGTTCATCACAACACTATTTACAATAATAAGAAATTGAGTACACAGGGCATGAAGTGGATTTATTAGTCTGGTACATAAAAATTTAAAACCCACTCAGGTAAGAACACTCACATGGAAGTTTTCAAGCATGAAAATTGTTCTTTGAAACTATCATCATTTTTCCTCTTTATAGAAGGCTGTTAATTGCATTTTGGTAGTTCTTACCTCAAGAGAACTTGAATTATTTGGGGGAAAGTGAATGCAAAAGAAAACATCTTTCATATTCAGGTTCAGAACCCAGCAACCTGGAGTACAATTTTCAGTATTTTAACTACCTCAATAATACTGTGAATGTAAGATATTGGGATGGAGATCCCAACTTGAAACAACAACTGGTGCCTATGGTAATTTAATGTATTGTCAAATGCTTTTATTGATTGGTTTAAATGTCACTCTTGTTACAGAATATGCCTTTTTAAAAAGTTTATAATAGTACTTTCCCAGTTTATATTTTTAAAAGCTATAGAACACTGAATTAGTTTTGGAGGGGGGTAAAATAAAACAATTAGTTACTATTGCTGCATTGCTGCATACCCAAGGTGGGGTGGGATGAGGTGTTTGGAGAACCAGAACTATTTTTTAAACATTAGTTCTTTGTATAAATACAACTCACAACTGCTAGCTTTGGGGGAGGCAAGTCGGGGGAGTTAATTCAAGTTTCATTTTATTTCATTTATTGATTAGTCTTTAAAGTAGGTCTTTTTTTTCTGAGATTGTGGGACCATCATTAAATGTGTACTGTGAAGAGATTAATCATATGTATAAAGGGCTTTACCAAAGTCCACTAACTAAACACTACTCAAATACAGACTGAAAACCAAACTGTATCTGTTACAACATTAATTGCAGATGGTGAGTAATGGCACTAAAGTCTACACCAATGCAATTAGATGAGTGCTATGCATTTAATTTTAAAATAAAACTAGTTTTCAGTAAAAATATAATAAATTGAAAACTTCAAAATGTCTGACAAGAGGGGAAGGGTTTTATACACATATTATGGAATCATTAAGAAATATTTTGAAATAATTTCTAGTGATATGAAAAATACTAAGTATAGAAGCCATATTATGAAACTATATTCATAGTTAAGTTCCAATTATGTTTAAAATATATACATGCACCAAAAAAGACAAGAAAGAAATATACCAAAACATTAGCCATGATTATTATACCTTACTAATGTGTTTATGGGTGATTTTTAAAGATTTTATTATTTTCCCAATTTTCAATAATAGGAATGTGTTACTTTTTAAAAGCACATTAAGGATGTGAAGAGAGGAAGAGGTTTGTTTATTTTATAAGTTTTCCAAATATTTAGAAGTAGAAAAGAATATTTGAGATAATCCAGTCCAATGGTTCTCAACTCTATCAGCCCAACCCTTAATGGGTATATGCAATATTTTGTAATGCACCCTTTGACACCCTAAAAGGAAATTCATAGTTAATATAACCTGCATATACATTTAATTTCCAGAAAAGCAATATAATACATTGATGATAATATAAAAAAGAAATAAATGGAAAGTGGTTTATAATAAAATAATATATATTTCAATATGTAAATGCTTGAGCAAGACTATACTTATAGATATAAGAAAGCAGTCAGATGTTTCCACTTATATATGTAGATTCACTGTGAATTCAACTGCTACCAAAAGAAGATTGATACAGGTACTATGTTGTACTGGCAACTTAAAAACCCATGAATGGCATTCCTATTGGTGACATGATATTCAAAAGTCACAACTCTTGGTAAAGTTTTGAACAAAATAAAGTACAATCGGCCCTCAATTTACCCAAAGATTGCATTCCTGGAAATTCGGTGTATAATTAAAACTGCAAAAATATAGTTTGTGTTTATCTGTGTAATAATTAGGCCCAGTTAATTACACTAGTTTTTTCCACTTACAATGATGCCTTATATGCCATTCAAAAGTTTACAGATACATATTTCCAGTTCCCATTCCTCTTTCATGTTTATTCAAAACATGAAATGTACAATTTCTTTTGTTGTGAGATGAGCTTGCATCCTTTAAAATTAATGATATTCACAGTATTAGTGTTTGATACTATTTGTAAAACCTATCACTTAAGAACAAGCAGACCTGGCTGGTGTGGCTCAGTGGATCGAATGCTGGCCTGCGAACCGAAGGGTCGCTGGTTCAATTCCTGGTCAGGGCACCATGCCTGGGCTGTGGACTGGGTCCCTGGTTGGGGGTGTGTGAGAGGCAGCCAATCAGTGTATCTCTAACACATCAATGTTTCTTTCCCTTTCTTTCTCCCTTCCCCTCTCTCTAAAAATAAATAAATAAAATCTTTTAAAAAGAAGAACAAGCAATTCTTAGAATGTAGTCTCAAAACTGACACAAGTGCTTTTTGAATGATTAGAAACATTGCTCTTCTTTAATAGCACCAAGGCATGGGAGCAAATTATCATTTTTAAACACCACTTACTGTGATCCCTTGATGATTTTCTCTCACCTGGCTCCAGCCTCAGGGGTATAAAATCAACTGAGCTGGAAGAAAAGGACTAACAGGGCCAGGCCATGGGGAGAGGAATGGGGGCTTGGCTGCTAGGTTACCCTTTGAGCCAATCCAAATGGTCCCAGAGGGGCACCAGATATAGGATAGGGCCTTCTCTCTGCCCCACTAGGCTGAGGGCCCTCTCAAAGTAAGGGGGTCAAAAGGTAGAGGACAGGGCCAGTCACTCATGCTAGGCACAAGTAAAGAAATGAGGCAGAAGCACAAAGAAGCAGACATCCCTGTATTTCTAAAACCATTCAAGTCTCCTTCGTTAATTGGTTCCCCCCCAAAAGAAAGATTTCTTTATTAGGAAATACCAGAGAGTGAAAAACCCACCACACATACATATTTGTAGGCTCACACATAAGTGCAGAGATTTACATATTAAATTGCATTTTAAGTTAGAAAATAGATTTAAAAACAAAATATTTTTTCTTTCTCCATCAAGGTAAAGCAATTTGGTCAATAGGAAAAGAGATTTAGGGGTAATGGCAGGAAGTTTAGGGCAGGAAGAATGGAATTTAGCTGCTATAGAATTAGAACCCACCACTTGCCACTGGGGGATAAAAGCAAAGGGGGATTGGATGCTGTCTGTTAGGGCGAGGAGGGCCCCAAAGCCAAATGGACATGAAGAAATAGCCATAAATAGCCAAAGCCCACCAACCCCCAGAGGCTTTGAACCTGTGCCAACCATCCATGAATGGGGAAGTAGAGAACTTAAGGAATGCAAAGGAAGGGAAGAGGTGGAGAGAATGTATGCCATTGAAAGGACCAATTCTCCAATCTCCCCTCTGATCAGAACTCAGATGAAGGACAGTCCAGGAGGGCCCACAGTATGAATGGAATAGATCTTCAGGCCAAGGTCTTAAATATAGAAGATTTATACAGGTAAAGAAAGAGGGCACGGAGTATAAAGCAGAAACCTAAAAAACATTATTTCTTACTAGAGATATGAGATTTGCATGTTGACCTTCACCTTAGGAAGAGAAAGCTTCTCTGACTGACCTAAGGGTCAGCAGAAGAGTGTTTGAGGTAAAGTAAGGGAGTAGAGAAATCCATCCTAATCCAGAAGAAGAGATGGGCTAAGAAGTGACAGAAAAGGGATTCATCTCAGTGATGGGTTAACTGGAAAAATCTAATAGCTTCCAAACTCTCCAGGCTCGGCCTTATTTTGAACTAACTAAAATGTAACTACAAGGACAAATTGAGAGAGCCAGAAATAGAATTTCTGGTAAAGTAGAGGCAGAGAAGAGAGGAATCCAAGTCAGAGTCGGTCTGTTTCTGTCTCTGTCTCTATATCTCTTTCAATTGCTAAACTCAAACTCTGCTATAAGGAAAATAGAAAGATGTAGAGAAAAATCTGGAAGCAGCCAAATTTCATTAATTCTGATTAACTGGAAAGAGTAAGAAATGGATTTGTAAGAAGTCTTGATTACAGACCATTTAAAATGAAATATATACAATCACTTATAAAAGATCACTAACAAAGTATTTCCCAGGGGAGGTCCTGATAAGCCTGCTTTAATAACCAAGATGTCTACAATTAACAGCATCCATCTGTATAACACAGTATCTCAATAAACAACTTGTTCTCTTAAGTTAATATATCTCCCAACACTCCCCATCTTGCTAACACTGTATATTGCCTTAAAGCCCTTTCTTTATAGTCCAGTATAAGGTAAAGCTTTGGCCCAGAATGTAGTAGTGATCAGTGGAGAGTTTGGGAGCTATTGGTCCAACCCAAGGGTCCTCCAGAAAAATGAAAGTATAGGTAGTAACTAGCAATCCCTTCAACCCCCACCCAACCCCACCATACCACACAAAGATACACACCCCTATGATGATTCTTGAAATATAAAGGGGAAGGAGGAGGCAGGCAGTTTACATTAGACACAGTTTAATCAACTTCAAATAGGTGAAAAGTTCTGATTTACACTTCTCCCTCCCCATAAGTCATCCAGACAGGACCCTGACTTAGAAAGAGAAAAACACAGGTGCTCTAGGAAATATAGCCACATATAATACATAAATCTTCTTCCCTGAAATAGAGCAGGTCCTGAGCAGAGCTGATGGGGGCAGTTCATAGAACACCCCCAGGGTGAAGTGGCTCTGGGACTCTGCAGGTGGAAGTGCTGGAAGAGTGAAGCTTGGCAGAAGCCCCCAGTGTGGTTATCAAGCCCGAGGTGGGCCAAGGCCTTGGAGTGGGTTACCCAGGAGGGCAACAGTGCTGGGCTTTCCCTCCTCACTCAGCCAAGGCCTAATGGAAGTACTAGTTGCCTTTTTGTTTTCTTTTTTGAGTGGACAGAGGGAGAGGAGAGGAGAGGAGAGCCTCTCTGTGCCTTGGTTTCCCCTTTTGTGCATTCAGGGCCTCTCCAGGCCTTACACAGGGAATCTAGAGGGGAGGGGTAGTGTTTAAATGAGCACTCGGAATCCCTCTGAGGAAAAGAATGGCCAAAGTGCAGACTTTTATTACTGCCATTCTTGCTCTTAATGGGAGCAAGAGTCAGAAGAAAAAAATGAAAAGGGGCTAATGAGAAAGGAGGAGCGATGAGACAGAGAGTGCAAAGGGTGATGCTGTTGGCAACTCATAAATTCTTATTGAAAATGGTACAGGTATTAAAAAGTTTCAGGGTAGTCTACAAGAAATGTAAATTGTTATCCATACTGCAAATACTTACATATATCTAATTGGGGAAGAGTGGGGCTTGGGAGTTAGAGAGTGGACAGGGGAAAAAGAAGAAACTACATGAATAAATACAAGTGGAAGCTACCTGATCCACTTCTAAAAGAATTTGTTGGCAATGGTGGCACTTTGTAGCCAGGAGAATCCTCCAGCCCTACTCACTATCCTCTTCAATTCTGAAGATTTCAAGAATCCAGTTAGGATTCCCTTGCCAGAGTTCTCTGTGATCACCTCCCGACTTATGTCATGCAGCAGCTGAAGAGGACTGAGTCAGCCTCAAGAGCCTTTAACCCCAGAATTGGACCAACCACCCCAAGCAGGAGAGCTAAGATCTGGAGGGAAGAAAGGGGAGTTCAAGGAGATTCCGTGGCTGAGGCTGTGAAAAACCAGTGTCAGGGCCCAAGAGACCCATCTGTCCAGTTACCAAGGTCACTGACATCTTCTGTGACTGCCTTGAGCTCATAATAATAAAAAAAAACTTGCAGCAAGAAAATGCCAGTGTTCCATTGGGTGATAAAGACCAAAGAAAAACACCTTACTTGTTCTCTGTCTCAGGTTTATCTTCTCCCTTTAAATCTCTCACAGCCCTAATTAAACACAAACAAAAGTCTGTTCCATAGACAGGCTACTTCTCAGCTTTAGCCACCTCTTGTGGTGGCTCTGGGGGTTCTGGGGGTGGCATCTCTTCAGGTGTGCTGGTGTCCTCCAGCATCTCATTTGAACTCAGATGTTCTGTTAGGGCCTGAGAAGTAAAAGACATCAAATTCAATATAAAGCTCATCCTCAAAATTCAAATAGAGATAATCAGTAGACACTGAGCCCTTCCTCTGAACCTATCAACCCACACTGATATTATAGGTATGCAACCACCAACACCAAACTCAGAACCAAGACCTGAATATTGATGTCTTCTCAGCAGAGTGCAACTGATGTTTGAGTTCTTAACTGTTGTGGAGAGATGCTTCCATTATTATTCATAATAATAACAATGACCACAAATAATTACACAAGCACTTCTCCTTCACAACAGAATGTTATAATGTACCACACTTGCCTAACAAGACCTGACCCAGTGGCTCTTAATTTTGTTTCTGCCCTAACACTCAGTTCTCTAGAACAGTAATTCTAAATCAAAGAGGGTAGAGTGGCAAATTTTTCAAAACATATATGTTATTTTAAAATGCCCCCAGAGTGACTCTAAAGTATCATCCTTCCCCACATTCAACTGAGAATCACTAATCTAAATTATGATAAGACCAGACTTATCAGAAACATGATATTCAAAATGAATATAATAATGTACAAAAATGGGTTTGCTGTAATTCAAAAAATAAAATTGAAAATTAGGAAAAGCACAGTAGAGAACAATTATCTACCTTACAAAAAGCACTCACTTAATGGCAAATATGAACCTAGAAGGGATTATGCTAACTGAAATAAGTCACACAGAGAAAAACATATATCATATGATTTCACTTACATGTGGAATCTAAAGAACAAAATAAACTAACAAAACAGAAACAGACTCATAGATACAGAGAACAGAACAATGGTTGCCAGAAGGAAGGGGTATTGGGGACTGTATGAAAAAGATGAAGTGATTACTAGGCACAAATTGTTAGTCACAAAAACTCACAGGGATGTAAAGTACAGCACTGGGAATATAGTAGTAATATTTAATAACTATGTACAGTGCTAGGTGGGTATTTGAAATATAGGGAGGATCACTTCATAAAGTATATGATTGTCTAATTACTATGTTGTACACCTGAAACCAATACAAAATAATAATGAATGTAAACTGTAATTGAGAAACAAAATAAAATTTTTCCCAGCTTTTGGTATTCAATAACTATGTTTAAAAAAACACTCACTTAAAAGTAAGATTCTTCTTTCTTTCTTTCTTTCATTTATTTATTTATTGAATGCATTGAGGAGACATTGGTTCACAAAACCATTCAGGTTGCAAGTGTACAACTCAAGAAAACATCATGTACACACTGCATTGTGCACCCATCACCCCAAGCAAAGTCTCTTTCCATTCCTATTTTCCCCCTTTTTGCCCACCTCCACCTACCCACAATCCGTCTTTTCCTCTGGTATCACCACACTGTTGTCTGTGTCACCACATCGTTTTCTGTGTCTATATGTTTATACACACACACACACACACACACACACACACACACACAGTCCAGCCACTGTTGATATAATGAGAATGGTTTGTGCAACACTGATGTACCCTGGCAGCCAAGGAGAGTGGACAGGAATGAGCCTGCATGAACAATGACAACTTCACTGTACTAGTCAGTGGGGGCAATAGATGCCGTTGGGTGAGCATATGTACTATGTGGTCATCATATTCACAATGACTAACTGAGTGCAGCAATGAATCTGCATCAAATTTTGTGTTAAGCTTGAATATTACTCCATAGAAACTATTTGGATGATTCAGAAGACCACAGCTATGGGCAACTGTTGATTGGCAGCTTTATCATGACAACATGCCTGCTCGTGCATCACGTCTCATGCAGAGTGTTTTGGCAAAACATCAAATCTCCCAGGTGATTTAGCCCCACTACAGTCCAGATTTGGTGCCCTGTGACTTCTGGCTTTTCCCAAAACTAAAGTCACCTTTGAAAGGGAAGAGATTTCAGACTGTCAATGAGATTCAGGAAAATATGACAGGGCAGTTGATGGTGATTGGGAGAACTGTGTGAGGTTCCAAGGTGCCTAGTTTGAAGGGGACTGAGGCATCATTGTCCTAATTGTCATATGTATAATGTTTCTTATATCTTCTTCAAATAAATGTCTCTATTTTTCATATTATATGGATGGGTACTTAACAGACTATATATATAAACTATATATAAGATATATATATATATATATATATATATATATATATAGTTTTTGCTTAATCCCTTCACCTTCTTTCACCCAATTCTTCAACCTCTCTGCCTTCTGACAGCTGTCAGTCTGTTCCATGTATCCACATCTCTGTTTCTATTTTGTTCATCAGCTTATTTTGTTCATTAGCTTCCACATATAAGTGAGATCATATGCTACTTGTCTTTCTCTGACTGGCTTATTTTACTTAACTTAATAATCTCCAGGTCCATTCATGTTGTTGTAACAAATAAGAGTTCCTTCTTTTTTATGAGCAAGTAGTATTCCATTATCTAAATGTGCCATTGCTTTTTTATCCACTCAGCTACTAATGGGCACTTGGGTTGTTATCACATATTGGCTATTGAAAATAATGCTGCAATGAACATAAGCATGCATATATTCTTTTGAATGAGTGTTTTGGGTTTCTTAGGATATATTCCCAGAATTGGGATCACTGGGTCAAAAGCCAGTTCCATTTTCAATTTTCTGAGGAAACTCTATACTGTTTTCCACAGTGGCTGCACCAGTCTGCATTCCTTCCAACAATGCAAAAGGGTTCCCTTTTCTCCGCATCCTTGCCAGCACTTGTTGATTTATTGATGGTAGCCATTCTGGCAGGGGTAAAGTGATATCTCATCATGGTTTTAATCTGCATTTCTCTAATAATTAGTCACAGTGAGAATTTTTTTCATATGTCTATGGATCATCTGTATGTCTTCTTCGGAGAAGTGCCTATTCAGGTCGTTTGCCCATTTTATTTTTTTATTTTTATTTTTTGGATAAGATTTGCATTTTTATTTATTTATTTTTTAAAATTTTATTTAGTTATTTTTCAAGTACAGTTTTTTTGTCTATTTCTCCCATCCCAGCCTCCTCCGCCCCCATTTTATTTTTTTAACTATTTTATTTATTTATTTTTAGAGAGAGGGAAAGGGAGGGAGGAAAGAGAGAGAAACATCAACTTATGGTTGCCTCTCACACACACCCTACTGGAGACCTGGCCCATAACCCAGTCATGTGCCTTGACTAGGAACTGAAGTAGTGACTCTTTGGTTCACAGGCCAGCACTCAGTCCACTGAGCCACACCGACAGGGGCTGAATGAATGAAGAATAAAGTTAGAGAACTCACAATTCTTAATTTCAAAACTGACCACAACACTATAATAACAAAGACAGCTTGGTACTGGCATAAGAATAGACATATTGATCAATGGAGTAAGATTAAGAGTCCAGAAACAAACTCACATTTACGGTCAATTGATTTTTGACAAGGGTGTCATGACAATTCATTGGAGAAAGAATAGTCTTTTCAGCAAATGGTGCTGAGACAACTGGATAGCCATATGCAAAGGAAAGAATTTGGATCCCCTTTCTCTCATCATATATAAAAATTAACTCAAAATGGATCAAAGATCTAAATGAAAAAGCTAAAACTATAAAACTTTTAGAAAAAAACAGAGGCATAAATCTTCAAGACCTTGGATTAGGCAACTTGTCTCTTAGATCTGACCCCCAAAGCATAGTAACAACAGTAAAAAAGAGAAATTGGACATCAAAATGTAAATCTTTTTTAAAAGATTTTATTTATCTTTAGAGAAAGACGAAGGTGATGTGGACACTGGCCCACAATGTCCGCAGCGTTATGGATGAAATGAGACAAATTCACACAGACTACCAAGTCCTGTGGAGGAAAAGGGATGGCACGGCCACTCTCTCAAACGGACAGCACTGACCCTTGCCTTGACAAGCTTTTATTGGCTTTCTAGTAGCATACATCAAAAAAGGTTTTCATTCATTATACTTAGGTTTACTTTAGATAATTAGTTTTTACAGATAGCAATAGAAACGATGTTACTGATTACTTCTTGCAGATTAACAAGGAAAAAATGTTGCAAATGCAAGGTAATGATAAGAGTAATTGGTCTGGTTACACTTTAGTCCTTGGGAGAATTAGCACAGACTTCAGGTTACTTTAAAGATATGCAGCAAGCATTTTCTGCCTCAACTCAGGGTGAGGACGTTTTAGCAAGAGCAAGTAATGAAGCAGCCTAGGTATAATGCAGGCCTAATTTCCCATAGGAGAACTGATCCATGGGCTTGGCTCCTGCATGCCACAACATGCCTATTGGGCTTTTCAATAGGGCTGAGCTACAATTGCCATTGCCAGACAGATTGGTTCCCTACAGGAAGGGAAGCAGAAAGAGAGGAAAACATCAATGAGTGGTTGCTTCTCATGCGCCCCTTACTGGGGACCTGGCCCACAACCCAGGCATGTGCCCTACCTGGGAATCGAAAATCAAACCCGCGACTCTTTTCATCATAGTCTGGCACTCAATCTACTGAGCCACACCAGCCAAGGCAAAATTTAAACCTTTTAAAGGGCACCATCCAAAAAGTGAACAGACAACCCACAGAATGGGAGAAAATATTTGCAAGTCATATATCTCATAAAAGACTTGTGTATAAAATATACAGTGTATTCTTACCATTCAATAATATAAAAAAACCCAAGCAACCCAAATGGACAAAGGATCTGAATAGACGCTTCTCCAAAGAAGATATATAAATGACTAATATGCTCATGGTAAGATATTCAACATCATTAGTCATCAGGGAAATGCAAATTAAAACCACTATGATATACTACTTCACACCCACTGAGATGGCTAAATGTCAGAAAATAAGTGATACCAAGGATATGGAAAATTTAACTTTCTTTTTTTTATTTTATTGTTCATATACAGTTGTCTGCATTTTTCCTCTAACACTCCCCTCACCCCAGCCATCTCAACCTCTCTCCCCTGATTCCAGCCCCCTTTGGTTTTGTCCATGTGTCCTTTATAGTTGTTCCTGAAATTAGAACCCTAATACACTACTGATGGGCATGTAAAATGATGCAGTCACTTTGGAAAAACAGTCTAGCAGTGCCTCAAAAGGTTAAACAGAGTCATCATATGGCCCAGTAATTGCACTCCCATGTGTATAGCAAAATGAAATGAAAGTATACATTTCTATGCAAAAACTTGCATGTGAATGGTCACAGCAGCATTATTCATAACAACTGAAAAGTCTGTATATTGGTGAATGGATAGATACAATGTATTCTATTCATATGATGAAATATTATTCAGACAGAGAGGTGGAAGTAGGCAAAGTGGGAATAAATGGAGATAGAAAGAGACTTGACTTAGGGTCGTGAGCTCATGATACAGTATGAAGATGGTGTTTCATTGATTTGTACAGTTGAAACCTGTATGGTTTTATTAACCAATGTCACCCCATTAAATTCAATAAAAAATATTATTCAGCTATATAAAATAATGAAGTACTGCTACATGCTACAACATGGATGAACCTTGAAAATATTATGCTAAATTAAAGAAACCAGTCATAAAGGACCACATGTTATGTGATTCCATTTTTACAAAATTTACAGAAGAGGTTAATTTACAGCAAAAAAAAAAAAAAAAGGAGATTAGTAGTTGCCCAGAGATGGGGCTAAGTGAACTAGGGGGAAAGAGAGAGTAACCGCTATTGGATACAGGGTTTTTTGAGGGGCTAATGAAATGTTTCTAAAATTAATTGTTGACATAACTGTATAACTATAAATATACTACAAACCAGTGAATCATACAGTTTAAATAGGGAATTTATGGTACATGAATTATATTTCAATAAAACTATTATTTAAATAGAGTTCAAATAATAAACTTTTACGAACATACTTTATTAAGTACATCTTGAGCAGGACAGCTGGGAGAGTTCCCACAACATTCTCATATTCCAGTAAGGAAGCCCACTTCTACCAGGGTATCTATACCACTAACTCCAGCCCGCTCCCCAACCCCTATCTTTTCTCTTATAGCATTTTATGCTTCCCTCATTAAGGCACTTTTCACAACATGGAGCAACAGCCTGTTCTGGCTCTCCTGTCCCTACTAAACAATGAGTTCCTTGAGAGCAGGGACATGGTTTGCCTTATGCACTGGCATATCCCACATCTAGCACAGTGACTGGCACAGAATGTCAAAGAAATAACTAAGTTCTAATCTACCTCAAGGGCACAAAGATGTGAGGCAATGTCAGAGTAGAAGCAGAGACAGGGAAGCTGGAGCGATTGAACACGAAACTGCCTAATTATATCTCTTCTAAGGTGTAAATTTAGCCTGTACCCTCCATCACCAGCTTAATCTTAAATTCTTCAAGTCAGGAACACTTACTGGGCTCTGTGGCAAGAGGCTGCTACTGGTCTCTTGAGTACTAGGAGGTCGACTTCCACTTTCCTCCAGTGGCAAAATACCCCTTCGATCCAGTACACTGAAGGAGATAGGACAGTTAATGAAACATTTCACATTCATCCCTCCAGCCACCAACCCACAGAACATTGCTGTGGTACTGGAAAACATAAACCTGCCCTTTGTCAATCTAGCCTGATCCTAGCACTTGGAAGATAGGAGTATCTTCCACAAATCAGGGAACATAAACAGGGGGTAGGGAAGGCAAATGAAATAAAAATGAAAGGTCATCCCTTCAAAACAACCAGCCTGTGGTCTATGCATGGTCCATGTAGATATAGCGTGAAGGGACAATCCCTGGGAAGACTGATTTGACACCAGGAGGTCATATTCAGAATAAGGCATCAAACCAGGTAAAAGGATTGGGTTGAGCTGCTTGTCCCAAGAGTGCCAGGACCTTCTAGTCCCCTGAGTACCTGGGAGGCAAGGGGCCACACAGCACTTCACAGCAGTTCTTCACAATGTTGCCATGGCTGTAAGGATTCTGGACACGATTCTTCCCTGTCCATGAGCCTTTGATCTGCAAGATAAAAGCCAAGGTTTACATTAAAAATTGTTGAAGAAATACATGCAGCATGGGAAGATGAAACAGTTCTAGAGATAGATGATGGTGATGGTTGCACAACATCATGAATGCACTTAATGCCCCTGAATTATAGACTTAAAAGTGGTTAAGATGGTACATTTTATATAATGAGTATCTTGCCACAATCTAAAAAAAAATACAATGTAGAGCCATGAGAAAATGTCCATAATAGAATGAAAAAAGCAGATAATTCATTTTCATTTAAAAATATGAAATATATTGATGAATAAAATAGGAAGAAAGTCATGGATACATGGAACAGACAGGCAACTGTCAGAGGGGAGAGGGGAGGGGAAAGGGGATGAAAGAAGGTGAAAAGATTGACCAAAGAACATATATGCATGACCCAGGGACACACACAATAGTGTGATGGTGGCTAAAGGGGGTGGGGCAAGGGCTGGGTGGAGCTGAGCAAGGGAAATGGGGAATGGGGATATCTGTAATAGTGTAAACAATAAAAATAAAGTAAAAATAATTAAAATATAAAAGATATATATATATCCACATAAACAAACATGGGAATAAGTCTAGAAGACTATAAATCATACCATTAACAATGGTGATGTATAGGAGGTAAAGTTACAGGGACTTATTTGCTATTTTTTACTTATCTGTATTTTCTGATTTTCTTCAGTGAACATGGATTAATTGGTAACTTTTAAAAAACAAGGATTAATTCAGTGTACCTGTTCTTGTCAATTTCAAATCCAGGGACATAAACTAGCCTTTAAAGATCTATTAATAGCTGAAGACTTTGTACCCCCTCCTCCCAACCATTCAACCTCTTCTTCATAATGCTCTACATGCACTCAGCTCCAAACAAAGCAGTCTACTTTCTCATCCACACACCAGATTTAACAATCTCCCACACCAGGTTTCTGCCTGCCTTGACCTCCTAGTCTTCAGAGACTCAGTTCTCTAGCAGGCAACAAGAGAATAGGTTTTGGGGGAAAGAAGAATATGTGATGAGGAGATGGGAAAGTTGACTCACGTCTTCATTGGTTGTCTGGTTGAGAGCCACAAGGAAAGTGTGAAATCCAGTCAGTCCCACGACGGACCAGAGTGTGAAGAAGCAAATGAGTACTTCTAGAACAGTGAGGTGATGTTAAGGAATGTTGAAGAAGCCACACAAGCAGACTCAATGCTTCAGCCCTTCTCATGGCATCTATCATACCATCTTTTCCTCTCAAAACATATATTACAAATGGCCAAGTATCCATATATAACAGATGAATTTTTAAAAATATTTTATTTATTTAATTTTTAGAGAGAAGGGAAGGGAGGGAGAGAAGGAGAGACATCAATGTGTGGTTGCCTCTCACATGTCCCCTACTGGGGACCTGGTCCACAACCCAGGCATGTGCCCTGACCAGGAATTGGACCAGCAATCCTTTGGTTCCCAGGCCGGTACTCAATCCACTAAGTCACACCAGCCAGGGCCTATAACAAGTGAGTTCTACACCCACTGAATACATCCCTTATGACAGGTAAAGGACTTCTGTCTATTCACTATGAGTAACTCTCTAACATCTCTAGTGTATTTAAGTGTTTCTTTGTTTTTTCATCATTAGCTTTTTCAAGGGGATGTTTAGGAGAGGGCCAAAGCTAAATGATGGCTGTCACTGTCAATGGTAAATGCATCAAAAAATAAACTTTATAAATGAAAACTTGGTGGGAAAAACAGGATGTGATTCATAGAAATCTCATCTGAATCTCCTTTTCAGAAATGCAACTGCTGTACAAAATAAGCCTTAGCTGTAACATGAAGGTAGACTTCCAGCAAGTTACATAAGAGGTATATTGAGGCAAAGACAGCACCCTAGATGAGGCAAGGCTGAGCATGGGATCGGAAGGAATTGGAAGGGAGGCAGTAGAGAATCTGGTAATAAAAGGTCTGCCCTTTAAGTCCTGGCCATCTTCCATTCTGGTTGTTACCACTAAGGCTACATTTTTTTAAATTTTAGGCTTTGCCACTCTCTGACATTTGAAAAATGAGATGATGGGAGAACTGCAGAGAGAAAGCATGCTGGAAAATAGGTTAAGAGGGATTTACAGGGACATACTGCCAGGGGAGGATATGTTCCAGGAGTTTCTTTCAACGTCTCCAGAAAGCCAATTTTCAAAGATTCTATGAAATTGGGAGGAGGAGTAGAGAAAAAAATTAGTGACTTTAGTTTTTTAAAAATGCACACTTATCCTAGTCTTTACTCACTTCCTTTCTTCCCTATCCCTTGTTACAAGCTAACAAGAGATAAGCCCTCATTCAGACAAAGGACTCACATTCCCAAGCAGGTTGTCTCTTGACTAAAGGAAGGGTTCACATCTCCAATGCAGGACTTGGCACTGGTCTAGACATTTGGGCAGGAACCAAGCATCTGGCTCCCCTCCCTTTTCCTTAGCTTGCAACCATGGGCATGGAGGGAGATATACATTCATACATGAAATAAATCAGAAATATCCAAGAAAAATCCTCTCTCCTCACTGATCCGTGTCCTCTCTTGTTCAAAAGTCAGCTGAGACCTCATCTCTTCCCAGGAAGCTGTATTGATCAAGACCACTTCTTTTATTCCACACCCTATCTGCCCTTATTTGTTATCTGCTTATTTTTGTGTGTTTACGTATGTGTGTGCACATGCACACACATGGGTGTGCATTTTCTGTCTCCCAAAGTAAACCATAAACTACTAAAAGGCATTTCTCTGGTATAAACTTCTACCACCTAGCACAGGGCAGGTTTTACAAGGCAGAAGAAGAGAGGATGCTGACAGCTGAAATACACCCCTAACCTTTGGGATCACCTCAAAAATGTTCAGTATTCTTGGTGTAGACCAGTTATTATGGTCCCGTTCCCCAGCAGAGATCCAGTAAGAAGGCCAAGATTACTCAGTAAATAATGACTGATGTGAACAGACGGTAGTGCTCATTTCTAGCTGGCCCGAAGGCACCTTTGCAATGGTAAACCCAACCACTCCCCTATGCTGTCTTCAAGTTTTCTCCCATGCCACCCGCCACTCCAACAACAGCCACTACCCTGCATACTCACTGAGAGCCACATAGACGATGTTGAAGGCGAAGACATAGATGGTGAGAAGGGAGAGAGAAAGGATGAAGAGGTAGAAGTAGCGGTAGTTCCTCTTTCCGACACAATTCCCCACCCAGGGGCAGTGATGGTCGAAGCGCTCTGTGGGGGGAAAGAGAGAATCTAGTGCCAATGCCTCCAAAACACAATATAATCCCACCATTCACATTTGAATAACTAATTCAAAGACCCCAGGATCACTGCCTACTTTAATTGTAAACCCCCCCACACACACACACACAACTTGGCTTCTATTTTTCACAATGTTTTCATAGCCATCTCATTTGATCCCTACAATCACCCTGGAAGTTGAGCAAAAGGAGATGTTATTTTTCCACATTTTACCAATGAGAAAACTAAGGAACTGAGGGGTTAAATGATCTGTCTCACTACCAGTTAACAGCAGAGACTTTTTTCCCCAAAGAAAAACCTTAGTAGGTGGGCCTACTAAGTTCGGGAAGAATAACTAGGTGAAAATAGCCAAGGAAATTTGGAAAAATTAATAGTGTGGTTTTTCTTTTCTAGTATTAAAAAAAACTATAAAACTACAATACTTGAAATCATGTGGCATAGCTTAATGGAATAGAAAGTGTCCAGAAACAGACTCTAGAATATATAAGAATTTCCTGTCTAATAAAGGCAACATTACAAATTCAGTGGTAGAAGGAAGTGTTTTTCTATAAACTACTCAGGCAATTGGCTATTTGGTGAAAAATATGGTTAGATTTTTTTCCCCTCACACTAGAGTGGTACCTCAATACTCATCATTAATTCATCCCAGAGCTCTTGACGAGTATGGAAACCGAGGCAAACCTAACAATAAAACATTTTTTTCTTGCAGGGTGGCATCATGAGTCGTACAAATTCTAGCACGTATGATGAGTCCCGAACAAGTGCCGAGTGCTGAAACATTTTTTTCTCATCAAAATGTGACAGGTGCAGGGTTTGATGAGCTCTGAAGCCAATGAGTGCTGAGATATGACTGCGCTTATAAAAATTAATTCCAGATGAATTAAAGAGTTAAATGTAAGAAAACAAAGTAAAGCCATAAAATAACCATAAAGAATAGATGAACATTTATCCCATGTATGGAGTACTTTCTGGACATAAAAGTAATGGGGAAAAAAACAAAGATGACAAAGAAAATTAAATTTAACTCCATAAACTTAAAAAAATATTTTACATGTCAAAAATACTATAAAAAATTAAAGAGAAAAAAACAGGAATGTATGTAAATTTCATATCTTACTATATGAAAAGTTCTTACAAATCAATAATAAAGTACAAATATTCCTTCAAAGATAGTCATAGGGCAAAAATAGATCGTTAATAAATGCTATATAAGTATATATTTAGCCATGCCGGGTAGCTCAGTTGGTTAGAACGTTGTCCCAATATGCCAAGATTGTGGGTTCAATCCCCAGTCAGGGCACATACAAGAATCAACCAATGAATACATAACTAAATGGAATAAAAAATCTCTCTCCCTCTTTCTCTCTTTCTCCCTTCCCCCTCTCCTTTACTCTAAAATCAATCATTAAAAAGTTTAAATAAAGAAATATGCTTTAATGTTTTCAGATTCAATAATAACTCAGTGTAAAAATAAGAACATAAAAGTAATATCCAGCACTAGGTAGAAAAAGGTACAACAGACACTCTAATACACTGTTGGTGGGAGTATAATTTGAGAGAATCTTTCTAGAAAGCAGTTTAGCAGAAATCAAGACTCTTAACAATGCTCACCCCCCTTCAGCACAATAAGTGAATTTTCAGTAATTTCTCATAAGGAAATAGAGATATGTACAGAAATTCAAGTTCAATTTTTTTTAAGTTCAAGATTTTTAATTAAAATTTTATTGTGGCAAAATATACATAATATACAATTTGCCATTTTAATCACTTTTTAAAGATTTTATTTATTTTTAGAGAGAGGGGAAGGGAGGAAGAAAGAGAGGGTGAGAAACATCAATGTGTGGTTGCCTCTCACGTGTCCCCTACTGGGGACCTGGCCCACAACCCAGGCATGTGCCCTGACTGGGAATCGAACCAGAGACCTTTTGGTTCACAGGCTGGCACTCAATCTACAGAGCCACACCAGCTAGGGTTGGTTTTTTAAAAAAATTATTTTAAGTGTACAATTAAGTGGCATTAACTATATTCACAATGTGCAACCATTACCACTAACTACTTCCAAAAATTTTTATCACCCCCCAAAGAGAAACTCTGTACCCATTAAACAGTAATTCTCCATTTTCCCCTGCCCCCAGGCCCTAGTAACTTCTAATCTTCTTTCTATCTTTATGAATTTTCCTACTTTTAGGTATTTCATATAAGTGGAATCATATAATATGTGCCCTTTTGTATGTGGCTTTTTTCACTTAGCATTATGTTTCACTCGAGGTTTATTCATGTTGTAGCACGTATCAGCACTTCATCCCTCCTTATGGCTGAATAATATTCCATTGTATAGATATATCACATTTCATTTATCCATTCATCTGTTGATGGACACTTGGGTTGTTTCTATCTTTTGGCTATTGTGAGCAATGCTGCTGCGAATACTGACATACAAAAATGTTTGAGTCTCTGTTTTCATTTTCTTTGGTATTGTTATGGACAGAATTTTGCACACTGTCCACCCCCCCATTTCATACACTGAAGCCCTAACTTCCAATGTGACTGTAGTTGGAGATAGGGCTTCTAAGGATGTACCTAAGATTAAATGAGAACATAAGGGTGGGGCCATAATCCTATTAGAGTAGTATCCTTAAAAGAAAAGGACAAGCTACCAGAAGTGCACAAGCACAGAAAAAAAGGACTTTTGAGGACACAGCAAGAAGGTGGCTGCCTCCTATAAGCCTAAGAGGGAGACCTCACCAGAAATCAATCCTGCCGATACCTTGCTCTTGGACTTTTAAACTCCAGAACTGTGAGAAAATTAATTTCTGTTATTTAAGCCACCTAGTCAGTGAATTTTTTTTATGGCACCACAAATAGGCTAATATAGGTATATACCCAAGAGTGGAATTGTAGGGTCATATGATAATTCTATACTTAACTTTTTGAAGAACTGTGAAACTTTTCCACAGTGGCTGAACTTATTCACATTGCCAACAGAAATGTATGAAGGCTATAATTTATTACATCTGTAAATTAAATACTTTTGAGACTTCCACCAAGATGAAGGTGTAGGTAGAGATACACTTTGTCTTCTCACACAACCAAATGAAGGAAAATGACAAATTTAAAAACAAAAAATAACCAGAACTGACAGAAAATAGAACTGTATGGAAGTCTGACAACCAAGGAGTTAAAGAAGAAACATTCATTCAGACAGGTAGGAGGGGCAGAGACAGGCAGCTGAGGCAGAGAGAACAGCATGTCAAGGCAGCAGCTTGAGGACCAGTCAGGCAAGGCAGTGGCTGGTAGACCTGGTAGTCTCACATTTGCATGTGGATAGCCAGGAAGAACAACTGGGGAATGAGACAGACCAGGCAACCTAGGGTTCTGGCTCAGGGAAATAAGGCTCTGGTGGTAAAAACCGAGGGGCTTGCAGCAGCAGAAGAAACTCCCAACCTCACAGGAGAGTTCATTAAAGAGACCCACAGGGTCCTAAAATGTACACAAACCCACCCATCAGGAATCAGCACCAGAAGGGCCCAATTTGTGAGTGGGAAGCAGGGGAAGTAACTGAAAGGCAGTGGTGAGCTGAATAAGTGGCATTGTTCCCTCTCAGAGCACTCCCACATTGACAGCACCATAAAGCTGTGATGTGGGTCACCCGACCCTGGCTAATATCTAAGGCTATGACCCTTACAATGTAACAGCTTCTCCAAGAGAAAAAAAATACAGCCCTAATGAAAAAACAGATCAAATATCTAAAAATAGAAGCAAGCAATGAAGAGATAGCCAACCTATCAGATGCACAGTTCAAAACACTGGTAATCAGGATGCTCACAGAACTGGTTGAGTATGGTCTCAAAATGGAGGAAAAAGTGAAGGCCATGAAAAGTGGAATAAAGAAAAATATACAGGGAACCAACACCAACAGTGAAGGCAGGGAAAACAGGACTCAAATCAACGATTTAAAGAAGAAGGAAGAAATAAATATTCAACCAGAACAGAATGAAGAAACAAGAATTCAAAAAAATGAGGAGATGCTTAGGGACCTCCAGGACAACTTTAAACATTCCAACATCCAAACCATAGGGATGCCAGAAGGAGAAGAGCAAGAAATTGAAAACTTACTAGAAAAAATAATGAAGGAGAACTTCCCTAATCTGGCAAAGGAAATAGACTTCCAGGATGTCCAGGAAGCTCAGAGTCCCAAAGAAGAAGGACCCAAGGAAACACACACCGAGGCACATCATAATTACATTAGCCAAAATTAAAGATAAGAAGGGAATCTTAAAAGCAGCAAAACAATGGAGAGAGTTACATACAAATGAGTTCCTATAAGACCATCAGCTGATTCTCAAAAGAAACCTTACAGGCAAGAAGGGGCTGGAAAGAAGTATTCCAAGTCTTGAAAGGCAAGGACCTATATCCAAGATTGTTCTATCCAGCAAAGCTTTCATTTAGAATAGAAGGGCAGATAAAGTGCTTCTCAGATAAGGTCAAGTTAAAGGAATTCATCATTACCAAGCCCTTATTATATGAAATGTTAAAGGGCTTATCTAAGAAAAAGAAGGAGATAAAAAGTATGAACAGTATGAACAGTAAAAGTATGAACAGAAAAAGAAGGAGATAAAAAGTATGAACAGTATTGTTGTCATGTTAATTCTGTAACATGACAACAAATTCACAACTATCAACAACTGAACCTAAAATAAAACAACAATACCAAAAATAAACTAAGCAAACAACTAGAATAGGAATAGAATCACAGAAATGGAGATCTCATTGAGGGTTATCAGTGGGGATGGAGAGGGAGAATGGGGGAAAAAATACAGGGAATAAGAGGCATAGATGGTAGGTAGAAAATAGACAGGAGGAACTTAAGAATAGTATGGGAAATGTAGAAGCCAAAGAACTTATGTGCATGACCCATAGACATGAACTAAGGGAGGGGTGCAGGGCAGAGGGGAATAAAGGGTAGAAAATGGGACAACTGTAACAGCATAATCAATAAAATATATTTTTAAAAATTAAGTAATTTTTATTAGAGTATTAAAATAGTGAATACAATGGAATTATGAATAATATCTAATGAAAGGGAACTGTCTAAATAAACTAGACTATAGCCATGATAGATTAGACAGTCACTGAACTAAAATATTTTAAAAACATGTATTAAAGATATAAAAACATGGTTAGGATATAATGTTAAGTAACAAAGCCAGCAATAAAAACTCTATCATGTGTGATCTAATTTTGAAAACAAGAGTGAGAATGGAAGGAAATACAGCAAAATGGAGAGTGAATTTGAGTTTAAGTTTTATTTATACTTTCTGTACTCCCCGTATTTTCTACATTGAAAATGTATTATTTTAATGAACCAAAAGGGCACAAATAATAAAATACAGGGTCTGGCACAAATAACACCCATTTTTATTACAAATTCTTTTATTACAAAATCATAAGTATGTAATTCTGTAACATAACAATGTCACACTCAAGCACACCATATGACATTTTAGGTGAAATGTTCAAATTAAAACTATAAATTTTTACACCCATATTATTACCCTACCAACTACACTCAAGCAGGCATTACATCTGCCGGACCCTATATATCATTTTTAAGGAACAATGAACTGTGTACTGTCAACAAAATAAGGCAGTAAGAATGATACATCTCCCAGTTAAAAGGCTACAATATATCTTTTCAGAAAAGTGAAGGAAACTGTAGAAAAGAATGGCATGTTCAAGCCTTACTCTAAGCAAACTTGCCATATAAAAACATTGGATATACAGATTTATATGGATGTACTTTTATTGCATATTAATCACACTTTTTTCTAATAATACAAGCAATATGTGCTCATTGTAGAAAACTTGAAAAAATTTAAATGAAGGAAATGATGTCATTCAAAATCCCACAGTCTACAGATAACAAGATAGGAGAATTCTAAAGTGTTTCCTTGAATATTTCTTTACACATATTTATATTTTTTAAATGTATAACTGAGATCACACTATACATGTACCCTATCTTTTGTTGTATTTAATTTCACTTTTAGGTATGTTTTTCCCATGAAAGTCCACTGTATAAATGCCCCACAATTTATTTGACCATTTGTCTACTGGTGGGCAATTATTCATTACTATAATAATACTGGGATAAATATTCCCATACCTAAATTTTTACCACATTCTTGATTATTTTAATAGGAATTTCTAGAAATATAATCACTGACATCAAAGGGTATACATGTCTTAAGGCTTTTATAAATCTTATTAGGTTGCCTTCCAAAATGTTTGTTCCAATTTACACTCCTATCAATGTAGCACTATTATCAGGATTTCCTTGCTTATTTTCTAGATTTAAAAAGATACAGTTTTAATTTTTATTTCAATATTTAGGAAGAATTTTTTAAATATTGTTTTAGATTATATTTATTTATTTTTAGAGAGAGAGGAAAGGAGAGAGAAGGAGAAGGAGAGAAACATCGCTCAATCACCTCCTGCACACCCCAAACTGGGATCCGGCTCACAACCCAGGCATGTGCCCCAACCAGGAATTAAACCAGCAACCTTTCAGTTCACAGGCTGGCACCCAATCCAATGGGTCACACCAGCCAGAACAAATTTTTTTGATGTTAAGTTGCTAATTGTATTTTTTGTTTTATAAAGTCCATATTTCTACTGAAATGTTAGTACTTTTTTTAAAAAAACTCAATTTGTATATGTTCTTTATATTTAAGAATTTGAGATGAAATTCTTTATGAAAACCCTCACATCAGATCTTCTTGAGATGTCAACTTTTCTGTCTCATTTTAAATGGGTTTCAATTTATAAAAATCCTATCTACATATAGTTTTTTGCCATATAAAATATGATATATCTTCTCAGCCTTTGTCTAAAGAACTGACTGGTAAGAGGAACGTAATGTACACAGGTGTGAGCCATGACATATATAAAGAATGCTGGAAGTATACCTATTGATAGATAATATAAGGAATTGTACACATATGCCTATTGATACACACAGTTACTGACTGTTTCTGATCTTTCTCAGGGCTCAGCACACAGTAGATAGAGATTAAAATTAAGCCACACACATGCAGATAAAGGTACAGATACATGCATTATGCATACACATATATCCGCCAACCTTACAACAGCAGCAAAGAAAGAAATGAGGATTTTGAAATCACACATGTTCCATCTTCATCTCTTATTATATAAGCCCACACAAAGGTGCTTCATCTATTTCCTTACCTGTAAAATGGGGGTAATACCTATCTCATGGAGTTCTTAAAAGTCTTAAATAAGAGAAAGGGAAAGCACTTCACACTGTGCTTAATGTATAGTAGGAACTCAATAAATGCTAGCAACTCTCTTCTTGGGAACACTACTTCTTACAAGGCCCTTCCTACCCCAATGCTGCCCTCCAGTGGACTAGGGTTCTTCTCCCACTATGTAAGGATGGTTATATTTGAAACAGATCCAGTAGAGGAACAATCTAGATTTGAAAATCAGGCCATTTATTTTCCCATTTACCAAAAAGGTTGTTTTTTTTTTTAATTTAGACTGGAAGATATTTAAATTCTAATTTGACCTATAGAAGTACAGTTGACACGGTTGTTCAGAAGCTTATTTCCTATCTAATTCTATGTTCCCTATCTATCCTATTGATTTTTTCAATAAAAATTACCTTGACCCTCCTCTTCAGCTCAGCCTTTCCCCCAGACAATGCCCTAGTGGTTTTACTCACCCACACAGTTGTCACAGATGCTGCAATGGGATGCCCGGGGAGGCCGGAAGATCTTGCATGTATAACAGTATTTCAGCTTCACAATCTGGTTGTTTATCTGGAAGTTCTTGATACGAGGGGGAGGTCGCTGGCCCTGAGGCACTGCACCGTTGGTAGCTTCTGTAGATCATTAAAGACAGTTAACATCACAGCTAGCCATTATTTGAACCCAAAATTCTCATCATTTTTCCAAAAGCAATGGGAGTAATCAAAGGTTCCTTAGGCCTACTGTCGTTTCCAGAATAGACTCTCAACATCAGAGTGTCCCCCACAAATTCCACTGAGTGCCACACAATTCTTTGTGTACGTGAAAAAGTATTTCTTCAAGTTTTTGGCCAATTACAAAGAAAAACATTCATAAGAGAAGAAATGAAAAGGCTAAAAAACATGAAATAAAACAGCCAACTCATAATGAAAGAAATAAAAATTAACACAAAGATATCCCCACCAACTGTATTAACAATATTCAGAAGAATAAAAATATTCAGTGTTGACAAAAATGAGGAGAAGATATTTTTATACATTACCCATAAGCAATGTGGCAATGGCTACCAAATTTTTTAACGTGTTTATTTTTTGACCCAGAAATTCTACTTCTAAGAACCAATCAAAATTACAAAGAGATATACAAAGGATGTTGACACAAGGACATTTGTCACAGAGTTCCTTTTAATAGTGAAAAACTGAAAATAACTTCAATGTCACAATAAGAGGTCAGTTAAGTAAATTATGATACATGCATAGGATGGAGTATTATGCAGCCATTTAAAATGGTGTAGGTAAGTGAATGATGAGAGGAAAATATTCACAATATATTACACAATGAAAATGTATGCTGAACAGCAACATGTATAAAAGGATATTACCTTGCAAAAATAAAATATATGCACAAAAAGGCTGCTAATACTTAGAATCAGAAAAACAATAATTTTAAAATAAGAGTAATACATGCTTATCATAAAATTTTTGGAAAAAACAGAAAATATAAATAAGAAGAAATAAAAACCACTGTCAGTCTCTGAACTCAAGGGTATTCATGAATTTTGGTGTGTTTTCATTTATCTTCTCTTAACAGATAAATATTCATAATTGTTTTAGATTTGAGATGTTATAAATGCAGTGTTGTACCCTGTATTATTCACTTAAGTTATACAGTAAACATTTTGTCCATGATTTTTAATTTTTTTGAAAACACTATTATTGGCAATATGATATACATTTTATACATGTATTATTATTTATGTAACCATTCCATACTGTTGGGCTGTTAAGTTGCCTCTGGTTTTTTACTATTTAAATTATACTGCATGCAAAAACTTAAAATATTACAAATAAAGCTAAATCTCCTTGATCATCACCCAATCCCCTCTCTTCCTGAAGAATATATTCATGTGTTAAAATTAACTTTTAAAACATACAGAAGAAAAAAGCATGTTGAAGTCTGAGCAGTAACAAGAAATTGCTGGCATTAAAATAGCTAGGCCCATATTAAAAAGAAAAGAGGAAAAGAGAAAAATGTTGCACTAAAAATTCTTCTACATTAATTTGTATAAATTTTTGCTTATTTTCTTTAGCTAAATCCTGAGAGAAGTGGAACTACTGGGTCAAAGGTTTTGAACTCTTAAAGCCCATATTACCATTGCCAAACTGCTTCCCAACAGATTGTATCAATTTAAACGCATGCCTATCTGCAACATATGAGAGTGCCTGTTTCATTGCACCCTTGCTATGCAGAATAATTCTAAAAACAGACTATTTTTCAATTCATTTTGATTTTAAAAATATCTGCCATATGGAACTTTTTCCCTTTTTTTTGCAGAGTCGAGTGGATGCTGTGAAATCAAACAATAAGTGTGTCACAAGTAAAAGGATGAGGACGGCTATTCCTTAGAGGATATGAGTACCAGCATACCACCTTAATATGTATACCACCTTATTCCTTTGTGTGTACTTTACATGAAGGCACCTGTAAGATAGAGTTCGTGGTTCACCCTCCCTATGAAGTGCTCTGATGCAAAGGAATCACCTATCTTCAATAGATTCTGTGACTTTAAGTGAAAGAACATATAATGAAACCAATTTTACCATAGGCTAATTAATATAAGCAAAAGTTAAGTTCCTATGGCATCTCATCCATGTTATAACAAAACTAAACTATGTTGAACAAAACAATGTTATTTGAAGACCTCCTATAGGGCTGAATGCTGAATATAAGTTGACAAAAACTTGCTAGCATACAAATAAACATATATATGAGTATTAACTTAAGACTGCACTCTTCTGTCAAGAAAAGCATGCTAACAGTAAATGAATGGATAAAAAAAAACTATGGTAAATTTACATGATGGATACTACATAGTAGAAAGAAGGAGCTCATACCCTTTGTTATGGCATGGATGGAACTGAAAAGCACTATGCTAAGTGAAATAAGCCAAACAGTAAAAATACCATATGATCTCACCTATAAGGGGAACCTAATCAACAAAACAAACAAGCAAGCAAAATATAACCAGAGACATTGAAATTAAGAGCAAACTGGCAGTAACCAGAGGGGAGGTGGGAGGGGATAATGAGGGCAAAGGAGTGAAGGGTTTCCAGGAACAAGTATAAAGAACACATAGACAAAAACCAAGGAGGGTGGGATAAGGGTTGGGAGGTGGGGATGGCTGGGATGGGGGGGAGTGGTGGGGGAAAATGGAGATAACTGTACTTGAACAACAATAAAAATACATACATACATACATACATACATACATACATACATAAGAAAAGCATGCTAAGTGCAGAGGTCACATGAAGAATGGCTCAAGCCTGGACCCCAGGCCCAGTGATTTGGCAAAACAGAGCTAACCTCCCTAGGGAAACTGCTGTGACATTCAAGAGACAAGTCAAGGCACTGCCTTGAACTTCACTTTCTCCATATGTTAATAGGAAGGGGATGATGAAAGAACAACCCAAGTGGAGAAAAGATAGCAGTCACAACACTCCTCCCAATCTTGCTCCTAACTACCTCAGCTATACTGGGTCTCCATGAACTCCAGCTACACCAACACACCTCTGCTTTCTTTCCACCACTCCTATCCACACCCAGAGAATGGGTGAAGAGGTGAGGGGATTAAGAAGTACAAAAAGATAGATACAGAATAGCCATGGAGATGTACAGCACAGTATAGGAAATGGAGTAGCCAAAGAATTTATGGGCCTGACCCATGGACATGAACAATAATAGTGTGGGGATTGCCTGAGAGAGTGGGGGGTGGAGAAGAGCATAAGGGGAAAATCAGAGCACAGTAATAGCATAACCAATAAAATATAATTAAAATAAAGAAAGTACAAAAACTAGACAAAGAAAACCATAAAAACTTTATTAATGGGTATAAAATTCAAACTGAAAATACAGAAAAACATACTATTTTCTTGGATAGGCAGATAATATTATAAGATGTAGATTTCCTCAAAAATAATTCATAAATGTAATGTAACACCTATTAGAACTCCAATAGGTTTGTGTTTTTAATTAAATAAAATATTAAAATCCAAAAAACAAACACCTTAAAAAAACTAAAGGCTAACCGCAGACTGGTGCTCAACTCTTGTAGCATTTAGTCTTATAAGTCCTGGGTTCCTTTCTTCTACTCTTTCTGGCTTGGATACTGACTCGAGCTACTTGGGTACATCAGACTTGAGAACAATTTAGGCAGTCACTGCTGTTGGGTTTTGTGGGCTCATAGTCCTTGCTAATACTGGCATCACAGCCTTCTTTCTGAATGTGAGCTCCCAAGACATCTCTCCTCTATCCCTGGGATGTTCTGCTTCAATTCACAAAGCCACCCTCACTCCTGAGTAGTGTAATACTTTATCTCTGTCCTGATGGGTCCTACCCTGAGCTGCAGACTACTCTGTAATGAACCTATAGCTGCTTCCTACCATTCCTAGAATTCTCAATTGTTCCTGGCACCACAACTGACTTCTGTCACCTTGTATATTTTCCTGAAGCAAGAATTCTTGGTCAAGGGCCTATGAATGTGCTTCAAAAGTTCTATGGATCCCTGAAATCCCATATATCCAAAATTATATGTCTGTGCATGCATGTAAGAATATTTTTACGAAGAGATGGTCTGCAGCTTTCATCAAGCAAAATCAAATGAGTTGATGACTCCCAAAGATTAAAAAAAATCCCACCCTCTTGGGGACAGTGCAGCAGACCTTGAAATGCTACCCAACACAGGGAAGAAGGAAGCATATGACTTTCAAACCTTACTATACCTATCTTAGCAAATTCACAAGATGGTTATGATCTCAGATTAAGGGTCTCAGAGGGAAAAGCCTAGAAATGATTGCTAATCTGCAACCACTATTATAATTCCAGTCTATTACTAATTAAAGCCACCCCCTGCACAGTGTGTTGCTGGCTAGTTAGAAAACTCACCTATCTCCATTTCTATGAAAGCTGCCTCATCTGGTAGGGCTCGAGGGATCACTCCAGGGTCACTAAAGCTGGTCCTCAACAAGGTAGCCATGGAGAACAGGAAGAGCATGGCGGCAAACACAGGGATGGCAGGAGACAGCTGGACAGCCAGGTAACGGCATCTGGAGAAAGGAGGCAATTGAACATTTAGTTATACCTACCCTATATCAACCATGAATCAATATGGTAACCACAATAAAATATGCAGTACCTTGAGGGCAGGGACCATGCTTTTTAGTTTGCTTAAATCACCAAAAACTCCTAACATATGGTTCTGTATATAGTGGGAGCTCAACAAATATTTAATTGATTGGTGCCACCTATAACATACAGAAGAGTCTCAAGAGACATCCCACACCCCTAAGTCCAGCCCCTCCTGTCAGCCTGCTGGGAGTTACATTTCCTCTGTGCCTCAGGAAAGGCTTACAACTGTTAGGGTGAGGGAAGCAACTGAGCCTGGACTTGTAAGTAAGACAGGTTGCTCTCACTCTGAGAGTGTCTTGAGTTTTTCGTACTCATCCATATGGCATTAGGCCTGAGCTCCCAGAGGAAGGAGGAAAGATGACCAGTCATGGAGCAAGGTCCCAGTGTCAGACACAGAATATGTCCAGCATGCTTCAAGGCCAATAAAAAGCTCCAGGGATGCTGACTGACTTTGTGACATCCATTCCTCTTCCATCCTCAATTAGCTCAGCTAGTAGATGACTAGTAGCCATAGGGAAATAAGGGAATTGTATCTCCTGAGCACCCTTCCCAACATCATATTTGCTCCCCTCTTTCATCTGAATTCACCTGAAAGGCCATACCTTTTCCTCTCTGGTCATCCCAGCCCTAAACATCTGGTAAATCTCAGAGACATCAATGCTATCATCGTCATCATTACAACCATAATTTACTGAGCACTCGCCATATGCCAGGCACAGCACTAAGCTCTTTATATGCATGAACTCATTCAACTTTCATATGAAATCTATGAAGTAGAGTCTATTATACCCGTTTGATAGATGAAGTCTCTGGGATTTGGAGAGGTCTTGCCTCCTCCAAAAGGCTTATCCTAATCTGCATTAATCTCTCCCTTCTCTGTCCCTGTTGGCCTCACTGCCAAAGCCTTGTATTGTTTCCTAGCTGTTTTTTTTACTATATTGACCTCACCTCCCCCAGTTGGACTTCATAAGAGCAAGAACCTTGTCTTTTTGTAGAAGGAATGCATGGGTTTAAATTTTGGCCTTACCAACTCCTAATTGGGTAAATTAGTTAACTTCAGTCCCCTTATTTGTGAAATGAGGATAGTAATAGTACTTCATGGGGTCATTCTGTGGATCAAGTGCATGAATATAAATAAAGTGCTTAGAACTGCACTTGACACAGGGTAAATGCTAAGTAAACGTCAACTACTAACATTATCATCATGGTTCTATAGCTCCAAGAGCCTAATACAAGTATAGGAATAAAGAATCTATAACAAATACTTGTTGAGTAAAACTGAATTTCAAACCAAATAGATTGGAGCATGTGATGACAGTTATCACTGACCTATGCAGAGACATGCTCTTGAAGGCAGACTATAAGTAGATAAGTAAGGGCCAGAGGAAGACCAGAGAAAGTAAGCTAAGGAACAAGTCTTACTTCATTGGCATGGGGATCAAGCCACTCTGAGCAAACATTTAATCACAGGTTGTACACACACTGCAGTTTGTACACCCCCATGTGATCCTCCCCTGACCCCTGCCACATACACAACTCCACAGGGTGGGTGGCAAACCAACTGTAATGTTAGGTTGAGCCATTTGTCATGAAGATGAACATATGTAGTGAACTTGCAAAATGATTTTTGTGGCTTTTTGTTTGTTTGCCTACTTATTTTTTTAAACAATCATTGGTCTTAGCTTGCTTTTGTATAATGTACTTTCTTCTCCTAAACACCAAAGGTAGGGGGAAATATTTGGAGAACTCAAGGATCTGGCCAACTGAGTTCAGGGTAATTAAGGTCTTTGAGTATCACAAGCTTGTGGAGTACCCTTTTTGCACTGTTCCCCTTCACTGATACAGATAATCAAGAAGTAAATTCAGAAATAAAAGTCATCCCAACTTGTCAGGGACACAAAGGCCACAGGAGAAACATAAGTCTCCATTTCATGAACAAGCCAAGTGAAATCACCACACTAACAGAAATCAGCCATCTTCCTAAGATTATTCTTGAAAACAAAAAAGTAATGTCTCCAGGACTCAAACTGCCCTGGTGTATAGTCTCCACCTCAGAGCCATCTGATTGGACACCAAAAGAAGTTTAAATTGTTTTATTACAGGGAAAAGCTACAGAGAGAATAGAATACACACATACACAGACGCACTGTCATGCATGCACATACACAAAATTAATGTTTCCCTCATGCAAAGAACTCACCCAAGTTTAACTAAGTCCTCTTTCAACAGCTGCTTGTCAATCAAACAAAGAACAACTTAGATTTGAATTACACTATACCATCACAGATAAAGGTCTCTGTAATCTCCACACAGACTATCTTCTGCACCTGCTAAAACAATCCACTTTGTATGTCAACAACTACACAACAGGTCCATTGTATGATTCTCCAGAGATGAGGCTACTAGCAGCCAGTTGTCACCAGTGAGTGTGGCTGGGAAGGCAGATGTGGAACCAGCAGGCCTTTCTACTCTGACTAAGGAGAAACTTAGAAAGCCAGCAGCTAAGACTATTTTGAACTATAACCCATCATGCCTGTCTTTAATAGTTAGGATTAAAAATATCCCCCTAGTTTAGTCACATCATGCCAGTAAGCTAGAGATCTATCTGTGACAGGAATAAGCTATGTGAAGATTTGGTAGTAATTTCTAACATTGACCTCAAAAGTCACAAATACCCTGAAACATCACTAATTTACATTAAAAAACTGAATCTGCCATTCACAAATATAAGCTAACTGGTTTTGAGACTCCCTAGTACTTTCCATCAGTATTGCTTCTTGGAATAATGATATCCACACACTTCTAGAAACAGAACTCTCCTTTGTCTTCAAAGTTTCAAGAGGCTTTCTCCTTTCTAGGGGCTTAGAAGTTGCTTTTCTCTCTTATGAATTTCATATATACAACCATGTCCCCCACCAAGTCTTCATTTCTGCCGCCTGAAGAGGCATCATCTTTTTAAGTCCTCCTCTACCAATTTCTTGATTGGCTTCAGGAAATAGCTGGGCTGGACAACTGGACTCTCACATCTGCCACAGACCACATGGTGGTATTGACCAGCAGTAACCAGCAGTGCCAGGCTGGGCTGGTGTTTCATGTACCATCCCCCATCCTTAGCATGCTACTTCATTAAAGGGACAATGATAATGACATAGACTTCAATTCACATGAAAAAAAATCAAAAGAGATTCATGAATGGAGCCAGTAAGGAACCAGACAGATTCCATGGCAGGGCTCTGCCTCACAGACTGGCAGTGTGGACTGATTATCTATAAAATACTCTGCTTCTAAGTCTCCCTAATAACTTTCATGCTATGTTCTTTATTGTTCTCTTTGATCAGTACACTCAATCAACATTTATGGGTCTAACAAATGTGGAACAAGAGAAATAGGAGTTAATTTTGTTGTGGAAAACATAACTAATGTATAAAACAGCTAAAGAATAAGACTAATAACCCCATGTTAAAATAGTATTTCAGACTCTAAGGACTATAAATGGTTAGGGAAGAGCTCTCTTGGGAAGCTGGTGGCTGATTGAAACTGCTCCCAAAGCAGCTATTAGGGTGACTTTAAGGAATAACTGTGCTGGCAACAGCAGGAAGCACCTGGGGATTACAGAGAGCCCCACAATGGCCCTTGGTCCCACCTAATAGAAATAAGCTTCTGCTATAAGTCCTTCTGATATGGACAGCTGTCTGTCCTCTTACATAGTGCCTAACTCTAGGGTACACTAAACATATAGAACTACCCATAAGACTGGTTCAAGTTTCTTCTGATGGCACTTAGAGTCTGCTGAGGGATGTTTCTTTGGATAGTAAGAACATAATTCAAGACCAGCCTCCAGACTTACTGCTATGTGAAAGTCAGAGGAAAATGCATAACCCTGTTTTGCTCCAGTAGCAACAGGGAAAATTAACCAAAGAGGATGTTTTCAATTCTGAGGCAATGAGCCATCATCCTCTTACTGAGGGGGATCAAAGTCCCTATTCAAACCTGCTAACTAGTCACCAAATTTCAGTTATAATAACAAACTTAACATTTCAATTATAACAAATCAACAAATAACAAATTTCAATTTTAATATACTCCTGCTCAAGAACTTATAACAATTTCCTGTTGCCTATTATATTACACCCTAAACTCTACACGTCAGTATTCCAAGACCGTCCATCAACTGGTCATATCTAATCATCATCATAAGATTCTTGTCTTCTTATTGCTCCATTCTAGAAGTATCCTCCTAATTACCCTGAATTCACTAGCTTCTTGCTCTTGCAAGAGGCATAAGGTGCCTCCTTTGTTCTTAAACACAATACCCTGTGAGGAGAAAGCGTTAGGCCTCCTCTCTTCCTCAGTAAACACCTCAACTGACTTCAGCATGCTGGAGGACACCCCTGTTCTTTGTGTTCACTTTTCCCAAAATAGAAAATCACTACACTCAATTAAGACTCATTCTGAAAAGATAGGAGATGAATTCAATGGGGATTGACAGCATGAAACTCATTACCACTAAAAGTAGTAGGGACTGAAATATACAGATAAATTCTGAATGACAGAACCACAAGGAATTGTTAAAGGAAAGCACACTATTCAGGAGACATAACCCAATCATTCTCTAGGAATGTGCTTTAACAGGAAAAAGGAGCTTAGCTAAGGACTATAACAAATTGATAACAAAGAAGCAAACACTCCTTTCTAAAACTGTCATTTGGTTGGCCAAATCACAGATAGAATCTTAGGCTAGATGAAGCACAAGATTGAACTCCTACAAATCAATTCTCTAGAGAATGTTCTCTTGGTTAGAGATCATGATAAAGTCACTTTATCTTCTTCCCAATCTCACCTAAGGAACTTCAGGAATCTGGGCCTTGCACTACAAACACAGATATTCTGTCATGCCAGAGTTTGGCTTTGGTTTGCA